TGATCGCGATCGCAATCGCAAAAGGTGGCCGATCATTTGCAATCACGGTAAGCAATAATAATGCTAAATCTGGAAGAAAAAATGTCAATTTCAGGTTATTTGACAAAAAGTTTCTTAAAGAAAGGCTTTTCATTTACTGAGTTCATTTTTGTTCGGACTCCTCGTTCTGAAACCAGAATTGTTAAAAAACCATTCGCAAATGTGTTTTTTTCACAAATATATTGGATCGCAAAAATTTGCAACATTTGATCGCGATCGCACAATTTTTAAATTTCGTAATCGCAAAATTTGAGATTGCGTCCATCCTTGAAACTTAATCAAATTATTACAGTTTTGTATTCACTTGAAACAAAACACGCAGGTTTTAAGTTCAAGTTGTGTATATTCTTGAATTGTATTTTAAAAAACTTCCTTAAAAAATTGTAATGACTAAGCGTATTTTCAATTGTAACAAAAAAAAGAGTTTTAATTTTCACCATTTTTTTATTTCCATGGCGTTGAATTTTTTAAGTATTTAAAAACGCTAATAAATACTCTTTAGATGCTTTTTGAATTTTATGGAATTTACCTGTAACTTTGTTAACTAAACATTGAAGATTCAAGCCCCTCTCACTTGTCTTGCTTTTCACCATCCTATAGTAATGATTAAATCTCGACAAAACACTTAAAGGGGGTTAAGGAAAGGCTAAAGTCTGTGCTGGAACGGCGCGTATACAAATCGCTCTTGTTTTCATCGCGCAGCCGAGAATTACACTTGAGAGAAATCTGAAACACAAGCTGAACTTTGCACTAGTCGAGTGCGAAATTAATTCTCGCTGATGACAAATTCATACGGCTGCATAGCAGGCTTTCGGGAGGGCAAGCAAGCAAGCAAGATTCCGCGGCTAACTTTGTAATACGATTAGACGCGAGGATCGTGGACCGAGCGAGCGAGTGAGCGGGCGGAGGCACAAAAGGATTTTCGGCGGAAGCAGAACAAGCACACGCAGGCCTCTCCTATTTCACATGCCCGCTTCTTCACATGGGCTGCAATCAAGCCAAACTCCTCTCGAGACTCTTTGAGGGCATTTTCTTTCCTCTCTCGCCAGCCTCTTTCTCTCCTGCCTTCTTTATTCTCAAAAGTTTTTCGACGCGAATTCGTACGCACGTCTCGGTTCACTCGGCTGATATTGGCTAGAAGTTGTTTAATGATTTCCTGCCTCGGTGCCTGCCCGCCGAATACATCACGACTTTTCCTCGCGCCGTCGATCTAAATTGGACTTGAATCTGACCCTCCTTCTGATTATTCAAATTTTTCATTCACCATTTGACCCGCTGATTGCCAAAACCGCCCAACTTGATTGAATCAGGAAAGTGGAATCGGTGCTTCTGTCAGATTGAAAGTGCCGAAATTTAATTTGAATTAAGTGGCAGATTGGATTTTTTTAAATCCATTGCCAATTTTTGTGCAAAGTTGGTTCCGTTCATCGGACAGGAAACAAATCACATGGCTTAAAAAATTGCATCGAGCGAACAAAATTATTTGGTCAAATAATAAATTTAACAGAAAGATTTCAATATTTTACCTAAAATTTCTTAAAATTCAGACAAATTGATTAAAAAAATTCAATTGTTTTGACAAAAATATTATATAAGATAAAATGAAGCAATTATTTTTTCTAAAAACAATTTTCGCCAGTTTGGATTACATAAAATTGCGAAATCTTAAACGTAAATTTGTCGTGATTTAAATTCTCCATAATTTAAAGACGCTAATTATTGATGGACCATCAGGTGGACAATAAAATTTGCGAAAATTTGAGTCGATTGGTGCTATTTGCTATTTTCGGCCCGAAAGACGCGCCGAATTCCACACCCCTTTCGCGAGCAGGCTGCGATTGGAAATTTTTAATAAGGTTTTCAGTCAAAATAAACCATGTCTCAATTCTTATTATTATCGAGTTGGATTGTTTAAAAACACATTTTTTGCACGACCTACACGGTTAGCAAGTTAGAAAAAGAAAAAAATTGTCCCGAAATGTGAGGAAACTGGCGCCGGTGAGCCGGGTGTGAGCAAAGATTGAGTCGTGGGTACGAAATAAGTCTTAAATCCTACCAATTAAGCCCTACCTGAGCCAGGATATTAAATTTCTGAAGTCACAAGGTCATCCCCGGGCCTGAAGAGTCCTCCGTGGTAGGAAAATCTGCGCTTGGAGACTCGGACGGCGGGTCCGTCTTGGCCATTTTTGTCGAATTTGTTCACTCCCTGTTGACTGTTGATTGCGGTTTTCACGTGATTGACTCGAGCGCCCCCAGATGGAGAAAAGTGGCGGGAAGCAAAGTGAAAGAAAACTATAATTACCTATTAATTAAAATAAAGCACTGTCATGAATGATTTTTTTAATAAAATTTCACCATTAACCATTTTTTTATATTTTTTAATTAAAAATCAAGTCAAAAGAAATCGCATAAAGTTTCTTGCTTATTCTGCTACCATTAGAAAAATAACTGTGAAAAAAACTTGACTACAAAGTTTTGGCAAAGAACTTTTATTTCATAATGTCCTTTACAAATTTGTTGCATCTTGATTTGTTCTCTACAAAAAAACGGTTCAAAGTGGAAATTTGAAAATTTCTTCTTGAAAAAAAAATTTGGATGCACAATCGAGATTCTTCGTTTAATTTTAATCCTAAATATGAATTTTAATTTTGAAATTCTCACTTGCATTCATATAAGATAGGATTTTCAAAATGTGCTGATGCGCCAAATCAAGCGACTGACATGATACTATTAATTAAAGCGCGCAATTCACAAATGGTTTAGAAATTTTTGATGAAGAATTTTAAATTTATGCATTCATTTGTAGACAGAAAATTTGCATTTCTGAATCAATTTTGTGTTTTTTATCTTTCGAGAATAGATGAATTTTAGACCTTTTTCATACAACTTTTGTGATTTCAACCTTTTATTTGATGTAGAAAGTTTTACCTTTTTCGTTTGTCCACAAATATTCCGTCCAATCAGCGGAATATACATATCCCAGTGTGCGTCCATCAGTGCCAATTATTCATAGCTTGTTTGATCGTGGCGTTTTTTTTTAAATTTTTTTCAGCAGTCAGTTTTTCGTCAGCAATTTATTCATCATTAGCGAGTGTCAAGAGAGACGCCGAGACCGAAATTCCAGCCGGCGCTCCCACCGAAAACCGGATAAATTGATTACTCCTTTTTTTGACGCGGCGTTGTGGAATAAAAAGACCAAAAATGTGGCGCGCGTCAGCCTTGCAATTTATTTTTCCCCCACAGCAGAAGCTCGTCCGTCGGCCACTAATGAGTAGCGCGCGTAATGAGCAACAAGAAGAAAGTGCTGAAAGCGAGCAGCAGTCGTGAGCCCAACGCACCTCACTAATTATCGGCCACCACGACCAATATAACAAATTTCCCCGTTCGATTGATCCGAATATAAGAGAGCGAAAAAGAAAAGATCGGGCCTCGGGGTGCGTAGGCAATTTGTCAAGCACGTTTGTTGCGCTGGTTGCATAATCAAGCATCTCCATTGAATTGGCGCACCGACGGCAGCCGAGTGGAAATTTCCTCGTCGTCCCAAATCGAAACATAAAAGTTTGTCTAAATTTAGCTCTAAAAATCTGGGTTATCTCAATCTTATTATTATTTTTTTCTTTACAAATAATCAACAATTCAGAAAATTAAAATCTCATTCTTGTAATTTTATCAACAAAAAGCCTAAAACGCCAAATTTTTTTACTTTGAAAATTCGTCTCCCATTTGGTATTTTCACTGCTTATTTCATTTCAATAACTGTCAAGCTGTTGCTCCTGTTGCAATTTCCATTAATGCTGTCACGTCACATAGAAGAGAATGGTTATTTAATGGAGAGCTCTGAACTGAATCGCGAAGGTCTATTAATAAATAATTCAACTTGTTCGCAACTTCAGACTTGGAGTTCATATATAATTCGACGTGGGGCGTGAAAAAGGTCACGGATGATTAATAACAGCCGAGAGAAGACATTTGGAAGTGCCATTGTATCTCTCTCCGTTCCGATTGCATGAGCGAAACCTCAACTCGGCGGCGGCGAAACTTCTCCTCTGTCTTCCTCCCCCTTTGGTTGCACATCTCTTTATCACAGATTGATTGTTTCAGACTGACAAATGGCTGTTACTTAATGAGCAGAAGCTTTTACGCTAGAACTTGATGAATTCAGCGAGAGAGAGAGAACGGCGAAAATGCATGCGCAAAACTCTCGGCAGGAATAAAGTTTCCACTGCAAAAGAGGAAAGCTAGGCGGAAAAGGTTTAAAAGCCTGAGTAATTTGCGTCAGTCTCATTTCAAACTTTTTGCCTGATTTGATTTATGGAAGAAAAAAAATTGGTGAAAAAATTCAAGAACGGTGAATATGGCTTCAAAATTTTAATACAAAGCCGAATTTCTTAAATTTTCACCAATGAAATTAATTGTAAGGAAAGTTATTGCTAAAATTTATTTTGTGAAGTCATAAACTTTATTAATTTTAATTCATCTACGTGAAAAATTATTACATGGGATCTGCAAAACCAGAAATAATTTTCAAAAACAGAAAGTTTCGTATTTTGTGTCACAAGCATTGAATTTTTTATATGTCAACACAACTAATTATTTATTATTTTCAATAATTGCTAGTTTCTCTTTCCGGTTTATTGCGGTTTTATAAGAAATATTCCATTAAAAATAAAATATAAAACAGAACAATTCGAAAAACCATCAGTTTTAATCCACCAAAAAATAAAAACGACGTGTGTTGTTCCTTTTTTATTTTTCAATTAAAACAGCAATTGTGAATGTTTTGCCTTCAATTTTTTTTTTTTTTTAGTTATTACAAAAATTTTATCCCTGAATAATTTTATTATAAAAAGATTTGTTTCCTTCATGAAAGCATATAACAAATAAATTATTTTGTATATTAATATCCTTTGAATGTTTGCAACTTGTGGAGTTGATCTAAAAGCGATTGTAATTTGTTGCAGGACATGTCAGAGTACAAGTGCGCGTCTGGGCAGCCGCCTGTGTACGTGCCTCACAAGCCGGTGACCGGCGTCATCGGAGCCTCGTTCAGCGTCGTCTCCATCATGGTGGCCAACATCCTTCGTCTGTTTAAAGTAAGCATTCCGAAAATATTTGCGGCGTTTGTCACTGGAGCCGGGGCCAAGTTAACCAAGTGCGGCCCGGGAGATAGCAGGGAAATGGATCTGTCAGGTAGTTTGTCAGACGCAGGGGCCCAGTGACGTCTTTCCTCTCAGCCAACTCTGAAATAAAAGAGGAAAATGCGGACATCAAAAAGCAGGCAATTAAAGGACCACCTCTGTAATTTTTTTTTCTCATTTGATGGAAAACAAAATTGCATGCCTAAATTTTAAATTGCAAGCAAAACATTCTCTTTTACAAATTCAGTATTTGTCGTTTTCCCTCCAAAAAATAAAATCTTGGAAAGAGTTGGAATTTCGCAATAAGGACTGGCCTTGCCAAAGCTCAAATCATTTTGGCGGGGAAAAATGTATTATATTTTCACGATTAGTGGTGCAAATTTTGTCCATCTCGTGTTTCACATTGGTCATGAATTATCATCCGTTTTCAAATTACAAAGTAAAACTCAATTTCAAGAGTTGGCCTTTGATTAGCGAGACAGAGATTGAATTAGAGCATAATTCGGAAAAGAGCCAGAGTGAATAAAGGCGAGATTAAAAAGTATAATCAAGTGGGATAAAAGAGAATTATTTTGCTTTTGAGGCGGCAGCTAGTGGCGAGAGAGGATCAAGCGAGGGGCTTTGGAGGCAAAACTTCCAGGCCGGCACCACTCGCCGAATTAATTTATTATGGCGCGCGGCTTACACAAACTTACTTGTTAAGACTGCCGCGCTGGCTGCCGGCGACTTTCCAACAACCTTGCTTGCGTTTTCCTTCTTTTGTTTCCGCACGTCGACAAAAATGCTCCCCTTCCGCCAAATTCAATCACAACAGAAGAGAGAAAAAGAATGAAACGGGCCAAAGTTGCCAGATTAGTTCAAAGTTAATTTGACTGCTTTTAAAATCCTTTTATACAGAATCAACAAGCCTTGTAATCAATTTATTTCGTCCATGGAAAATTGGAATTCAAGCTTTTCTTTCAACTGAATTTTCTTTTCTTCTAAAAATGTGATTTCCACCCCAATTATGCTGAAATGTTTAAAAAAAAATTCAAACGCATTGATATGTGAGTAAATTCTAATTTTTATTACAACAAATTTTAGAAAAAATATTAATTTTTAACGGCCATCATTCTGTTATTGAAATATTTTTGTTTTAAAAATTTTTTGAAAATATTCAGGATTGTATTAGAAAAACATAAAACAGTTCTGGTGCGACTTTCTTTACAACAGTCAAATCTAGACATTGTTTGATGTTTGCACATTTTTGTACTAACTGGAGACTAAAGCTCTCCTTTGACATGGCTTTCAGAAAATAAAATAGTAGAAAATTTACGTTTATTTTCAAATAATAAAAAAATTGTTAGAGCCATTTAATATTAGTAGATTTTTAGTTAAACTTTGATCCATTGGAAGAAATTTTTAAACATATGAATCCATAAACCAATCACCAATTTGCTTTTTTTATTTAATCGCATTCTCCATTTGAAATTATGGAAATTATCGCAAAATAATACATTGAAATATAAAATAAAACTGAACATTTAAGTCTTCAATGCTCAAATCTCAAATTATACAATTCCAGCCTTTTCGTACGATGTGCTTTTCTTTTTCTTTTCGGAAGCCACCGTTTTACTTAAATCCCTGTTGCATTTATCATTTCTTCATAGTTTTATTGCTCCCTCATCGCGACGTGTGCCACAAACATTCTTATTTACGGCTCTCGCTTCTCAGCTGCTCCTCGAGCGAAATTCTAATTTGGCCTCGTGTTCGTTCAGCACAGACTAGGGTGTTGACAGTCTTATCATTGTGGCAAAGCCTGCGTGAGAGCTGCTTGCTTTATCCGACGAGAAACTCCAATTTCCTGCTTGAGTTACTTGATTTGGAGTGGAAAAACAGCGCGCGCGCGCATCCGGCGCACACTTGCGGAAAGCGTCAAATTTCCCGAATATCCTCGTCAATCGAATTAAATCTGCTCCCGAATTATATAAATTTATATAAGTTTTCGCGAGCAAACAATTCTCGTGGGCGCCTCGGGTGCTGCTCAGACTTTCGTTTCGCCAGCACTTTTTCCGCCCCACCAGATAAGAAGGGAGGCTTTTTGTACGTACTGTGCGTCGGGGGCTCGTAAATTTGCACGTACGCCTCCGACATGAGAAATCACGCAAATATTTCGCATGTACAAGTCAAATCCTGCGGGAGCCGGAGAAATTTATGTCCCATGAAGTAGAGACAAAAAAATGGAAGTGACTCTTTCTTTCCGCTTGTCATGAATTAAATATGAGAGGAAAATCAAATTATATTCAATGCAATCAATAAAATCCGCTCGGCAATTGATGCGCCAGAAAGATGAAAGACCAATTTCTTTGAAAAATGCCAAAGAAAAAATAAATATTTTTTTACGGTCTGGCCAGATGAACTTTGCCCGTTATTGGTGATTCAGATGTTGAAGATGTACAACCCAAAATTATCATTACAAATGTGCTCTATTTTTACCATTTTGATGGTACATGTGATGGTAGAAAAAAATGTTTCAAATTTGAAAGTGTACAATGTGATTATTCTTCTCGGTCAATGCAAAAAATTTCAAATTGGAAAAAGAGAAGTAAAGGTATGGAGTGTATTTTTTTAATTATCAGCAATTTTTTTCAATAATATATCCAAATTATTAATTGAAATTTATTTCAAGGAATTCATTACTCAACCTTCTTTACAAATTTATTGGAAAAATTGGGATCCAAAAATCGCATGGGTGTGGAAATGAACTTGATGACAAGTGTTACAAATCGTAGGAAGTGTCAATTGCAGAAGGGTGTGTCACTTTTTGGCGCGTGGGGAGGAAATCTAGGGTGTAATCCGCCGTCGGAGCGCTGCTGAGATCTAGATTTGATATGATTGATGACGGTGTTGCAGATCCCGCAGATGAGCTACGCGTCGACCAGCACCGAGCTGTCGGACAAGTCGCGCTTCGAGTATTTCAGCCGGGTGGTGCCGCCCGACAACTTCCAGGCGCAGGCCATGGTCGAGATGGTGCGCGAGCTCGGCTGGAAATACGTCAGCACGGTCGCCGTCGAGGGCGACTACGGCGAAAAGGTAACAATTTTCATTTCTAAGCAAATTTTTTCCTTTAAAAATTTAAATTCAGTGAATCAAGGGTGAATATATTTATGACCCCATCATAAATTTAGCGCTCTTTGACAATGTTGTGACCACATTTTGCGTCACCACTGTTATTTTTGTATTTTTAATTTTTATTTGCCTGCGAGAAATTTATCTTTCTGCGGTTCGGGGCCAGCGAAAGCCACGATATATTTTGAAACCACTACTTTTGCAACCGGGCTTTGATGTGTCGGCATTCGGCGTGTGTATGTGTATTAATTAGCCGTGAGGTCTTGGTCCGAACCGCAGCATTTCAAAATCCTCCTGCTCCTCTCGCTGCTGGTAGGCGCCGAGCAGTTTATTTGCGCTCGCGAAATTAGATGCGAGAGCAGTTCTGTTGACTTTGTTGGCCGCTTTTTAGCCTGATTGCGAACTGCTCACTCTCTCTCCTCTGCAGCAGCCGACCCAACTTTCAAAGTAGATTCATGCCGAGGTTTGCTCGCAAACAATCCCTTCACAAATACTCAATTAATGGGGCCATTAATGGATTCATTTGCAGCAGGAGATTTTCTCACAGAACTTCTTCAGATGTTTCTAAATTATTTCACAAAATTTTTAAAATTTACATCGTAACTTTAAAACTCAGAGTAAAATCAAAATGGAGTCTTTTCTAATTAAATATAGAAAATAAATCAAATATGTGTAAATTAGTATAAATTAACATCTAATATATTTGTGCAAACTAATTAAAAACGTATTTAAAACCGTCAGAAACATTTGATGAAAGATGTTCCTGATTGGTACAATAGCGATTATGCAGAAAAATAATTACGTCTACAATACGCAAAATAGGGTGAACCAGGACTGGGCTGAATTAATTTTGAAAATCAAATAGAGCTAATTGGGGGACTGACAGGACTCAGCGTAAAATAATTTTGAAAATCACAAACTACAGAAGTTTGTTACTCACAAGAAGTCTTGCCATTATAAATATGATAGCATAATATCTTCCCACTAGGTTTTTAATTTCAAACGAAATCAGCCTGAGAGTGGCATTATTTCTCTCCAAACAACCCCTTTTATATCGCTGGTGCAAATTAAATCATTGCAATTCTAAAGAAAAGTGCAAAAGGCTGGTCGTGTCCGCGCCACGGTTCGGGAGGAACCTGGGAGCTTCGGCAGCGCGTCTCCTGCCCAATGCTCGGCGTCTTGAGTCTTGAGTCTTCTTGAGCATTGGGCAGGAGACGCGCGGCCTCCACCCTCAGGTCATCCAGCATGCGGGAGTGACATGCGGGGAGGGAGGGCTGTGGTGACGCTTAGCAACCACCCTAATTTCAACACCACCAAATCCCTTCCTAGCCATTCATACACGCAAAACCTGGTCGCATTTGATGCCCAATTTTTATTTCGATTCTCCTTAATTTGGAGTTAATTATTAAGCAACCTGTTCTGGATTAAAGTTTGACTTTCCAGTTTTTCGCTTCAATAGATTTGAAACTTTCAACCAGAAGTTTGCGTATTCTAATAAAAAAAGAAGTTTAAAATTTCTGCTCAGGACTATTTTTGCGGCCAGTGAATGGCGGTAGACCTTGAAGGGTCTCTGGGTCTCATGCAACTATGAAAGTTAGATTCCATTGTTGAATGTCAAATTTGAAAAAATTCTTGGGGCGTATCTCAAAATTTAAAAAGAACGCCACCGTTGGGAGCAACAAACGGCACACCGGCGGAAAGCTTGTTTCACGAGGATTCCGAAAATGCCCAGGTTTTTGCGATTTGGTGACCCCTGACCTGAGAAAGACGTCGGGAAGCACATGAGGTCGAGTTTAAACACCTCCGAAATGTGCTTTTTTTGTGGCTGCGAATCCAATTGTTGGCATTGTTGCTTTAAAGAAAAAAGGCATTTAAATTTTTGTCTTGGCATCCTTGACGTAAACGCGGGACATGTTCACTTTTTATTTAAATAATAATCACTCAATTTCCATTTAATTAATATATAATACGTCTATTCTATTATAGAGTTCAATGTAGATTTATTGGTGAAAATTCAAAATGTTCGCAAATTTTATATTCAAATAAATTTAAATGCGAAAAATATGTTAAATAAATCAATCCAACCTCCATATTTTGGCAAAAACTAGCTAAAAAGGCCTGTTTTATTAACAATGGATTCGCAGCTATAAAAAAAGCACATTTCGGAGGTGTTTAAACTCGACCTCATGTGCTTCCCGACGTCTTTCTCAGGTCAGGGGTCACCAAATCGCAAAAACCTGGGCATTTTCGGAATCCTCGTGAAACAAGCTTTCCGCCGGTGTGCCGTTTGTTGCTCCCAACGGTGGCGTTCTTTTTAAATTTTGAGATACGCCCCAAGAATTTTTTCAAATTTGACATTCAACAATGGAATCTAACTTTCATAGTTGCATGAGACCCAGAGACCCTTCAAGGTCTACCGCCATTCACTGGCCGCAAAAATAGTCCTGAGCAGAAATTTCAAACTTCTTTTTTCATTAGAATACGCAAACTTCTGGTTGAAAGTTTCAAATCTATTGAAGCGAAAAACTGGAAAGTCAAACTTTAATCCAGAACAGGTTGCTTAATAATTAACTCCAAATTAAGGAGAATCGAAATAAAAATTGGGCATCAAATGCGACCAGGTTTTGCGTGTATGAATGGCTAGGAAGGGATTTGGTGGTGTTGAAATTAGGGTGGTTGCTAAGCGTCACCACAGCCCTCCCTCCCCGCATGTCACTCCCGCATGCTGGATGACCTGAGGGTGGAGGCCGCGCGTCTCCTGCCCAATGCTCAAGAAGACTCAAGACTCAAGACGCCGAGCATTGGGCAGGAGACGCGCTGCCGAAGCTCCCAGGTTCCTCCCGAACCGTGGCGCGGACACGACCAGCCTTTTGCAATTTTCTATAGAATTGCAATGATTTAATTTGCACCAGCGATATGAAAGGGCTTGTTAGGAGAGAAATATAATGCCGCTATCAGGCAGATTTTGTTTGAAATAAAAACCAAATGGCTTAAATTGTGAAACATGAAAGTTAAAAAATAAACTGTTAGTTTAAAATATTTAAGATAAGTCAAGACCATGCTGATATGCAATATTTGTTGGGTGAACCAGGACTGAGCGTAAAGAAATTTTGAAAATCAAATAGAGCTAATTTTGGGACTGATAGGACTACGCTTAATTTAATTTTAAAAATCACGTCTACAGAAATGCAATATTGGGTGAACCAGGACTGAGCGTTAAGTAATTTTGAAAATCAAAAAGAGCTTATTTTGGGACTGATAGGACTACACTTAATTTTATTTTGAAAATCGCGTCTACAGAGGTGTAATATTGGGTGAACCAGGACTGAGGAAAATCAAATAGAGCTAATTATGGGACTGACAGGACTAATCTAAATGTTTGATGTGTGAAAGGAATTAACATTATCATTTTGTAAACCGGAATAATTTTTTTTCATTTCCTAAGCAAATTAAAAATTTATGAAAAAAAATTGAAAAGTTAGTCTTAATTTATGCAAGAGTTTCGTATTTGTTTTTTTTTTACTTCTTTCCAAGCAATCTGCGTCGAAATGTCTGCATGCGTTCCCCTTTACCTGCTCTTCTCATATAATCTCTACCACATTTCAAATCCCGTCATATTATTTCACACATCCTCTTACCCGACGCGTCATCCATCGGGGGGTTTAAGAGGATTTCGCCGCCCCAGCTCGCACAGGTGCTTAAAAAAACGCCAATTGAATTATGCCTTTTGCTGTTCTCTTTTTCAACCTTGCCTTTTTTCATTTTTCACATTAAAAAAAAAAATCACGCCCAGAGTGTTTGTTGCGAAAGCTTGAAAGCGTAGTGCCAGTTTTTTTAACGCAAATGACACCCAACGAGAGCAGAGAGATGAGAGAAAGTTGCTTTTTGCTTGTGAATTATTTCACACTTCATTTGGAGGCAGGCGAATTTTCTGTTTACGACTTTCGGCTGTGGCAGCGAAACTTTTTGTGCCGATTTTCGCGTCACACAAGCCTGAAAAAGGAAGATAAGCCCCTTTTTTCCGCCTTTCAACACAAAAGCGCTAATCCCAGCCCGCCTGCGACGGAACAGTCACTCATTTTGTTATTTTTGGTTTTGCATATTGATTCCCGGCGGCCGACGTCCTCTTCGTTGTAAATTAAAATCTCCGCCCTGTTATTTCTTCTCTGTCGGGGGCGAAAAAAAAATACAACTTGTCAGACAGACAAGAGCGACGGCGAATCTGCATGTTCCGTCAAGTGTTAAAGAGGATTCAAACCAGCATTAATCTTAACGACTTTCATCGATAATAAGTGGGTTCAATCAGTAAAAAGTCAATTCAAGAAAAAATGGAATTATTGTTGAGAAAAAGTTTTTGGTTGCAAGTCCAGGATTTTCATATTCAAAACCTACAAATTACTGAAGATCCGAATTACAGACTTTACTTGAAAAATTTCAAAATTAAAAGATTCAAAGCAATTGCTAAATTCAATTTAATTGACCCCAATAGCGGTATTGAAATTCTGGATTTTTGAAACGATCTTTAGAAAATTAAATGAAAAATTTTAAAAATCGCATCACAAAATTGAACTGTGAACTCTCTATTTTCAAAATTAAATAAAATAGTCAAAATTCGTTCTTATTTCTTGTCTGGCCCAGAAGCTAAAAAGAAAAAAACCTTAAATAATCTTTTGGAGTGATGGGCAAAAAAATTTAAATTTTAATCAATGAAATATCTGGTTTTTTAGTAAATAAATTGAAAAAAATCTATGTATAAGAATTGGAAGTATTAAAATAATTTTGTTTTATAAAACAGATTTCCTAGCGTAAATTTTATTATATTGAACTTCTTTTTGACTATAAATATTGTTTAAGAATTTCCGGGTGAAATTTTTCTGTTCTTTATGCCTTGTATTTACAAAACTATTTGTCAATGGTGTTGAAATAAGAGTACTTGAACTCCAATAAACTCCTTTACAAGGAGAAGAGCCGTCAGCTGGCTACTTAAATTGGGCAAATCCGTAGGTATTATATATTCAAAGAAGGGAAAATTTGTGTGCTCAACATAAGGGCGTATATATTCATTCGAGTTTTGTGTGTGCCGAGAGAGAGAGAGAGAGAGAGAGCGTCTGATCGAGAGATTGTGTTTGCTCGCTCGCCCCTTGATCTGCGTCGGACGTTTCTCGAGTAGGACCGAATAAAAAAAATCTAAAGGGAATATGCATCTATAAAATCTGGGAACGCGTCGGTTGCAGGGAATCGCGTCTTTCATCGAGCTGGCCACCTCTTCGGGGATTTGCATCGCCGTTTCCGAGAAGATTTTGCGCAACGCTCAGACCGAGGACTTCGACAAGATCGTCGAACGACTGGTGCAGAAGGCCAACGCCCGCGGCGTCATCATGTTCGTCGACGAGGACAACACCAGGTGCGGCCCAATGAAAATTTTCAAAAAATCCTATTCTTGCGAAGGAAAAGAGAAAAAATTGAATGAAATTAAAAGATTAATTTTTTTTCTCTTTGTATCTTCTGGGCATTACAAATTTGAAACTTTTTATAAATCAAAATTTCATTTTACTAATTTTTATTTATTCTGGAATTTCAAATGCAAATATATCAAAATTGTATTTTCTTCTTCTTTTTAATTGGGGTTTTTCTGTGGTTCTCTAAAATTTTATAACAATTAGTAAAAGCTAGAGGAAATTTAAATTCTAGCAATTTCAATAATTCGCAGAAAAAGCTATAAAAAAATGGCGGATAACCCAACATTTTACAAGAAGTACCAAAGTGTTTCTTTTAAAAATTTAAAGTCAATAAAAAAATTATTAGAACGCATTTTCGACTGAAATTATATTTCAACCTGCAATTTCCACTCATCCTCCATGCACGAAATCAATATTTATTTATCTCTCATTGCAAAGTTTTTATTAGGCCATTTGGCCACGCTCCAAATACAATGAACGCTAGTCTAGTGAAAATAATGAACAGTGAGAGAGCGGAAGTCGTTCACTCTACTGTTTTACTATTTCGGGTATATCTTCTTTTTTAATTGCAGAAAGCTCTTACAAGCGACGGTGCGGGCCAACCGAACCGGGCACTTTTTATGGTTTGGCAGCGACTCTTGGGGCGCCAAAGTACACCCTGTCAAGGAGCAGGAATGGGCAGCCGAGGGGGCCATCACCATTCTGCCCAGGCGGACCGCCATCAAAGGTAAAAAAAATTCAATCAAATTCAACCAAAATTTGAAGTTTTTTGTATAATTTACAACAGTTATCGAAATATTTAATAATAAATAAATGGAAAAATTTTCTTCACGTCTGAATAAAAGTTAAATCAAAATAATATTTTTCTAATTGACGTGTCAGATAATCAAAGAGTCAATATTAAGTTGCATTGTTTAAATAATGATATTAATTTTATTAAAAACTGAATAAATACGTTTGAAAGGTTTTATTTGTGCTCTTTATCTTCTGTGTTTAAACTGCGGCAACCTCTTAAGGAAACACAGCAGATGTCTTTATTCTTTGCCCTCTTTTTGTCATCTAAACTCTCTCATCTCAATTGATTTGGCCTCTACTGAAAAAGAGACTTTGCCGCGTCATTTGCAGAGTTTGATGAGTACTACAAAAGTTTGCGGCCCCGGCTGGACAAAGAGAGTTGCCGGCTTAACTCGACGACGGTGATGCCGCAAGGCAACAAACTGGTCAATTGCCGCAACATCTGGTTCCGCGAGTTTTGGAGCCAACACCACAAGTGCGCGTTTGACGACTCGTCGGCCCTGCCCAAGTGCACCGGCAACGAGACCATCAACGACTACGAACAAGAGGGATTAGTGCCTTACGTCGGTCAGTATCAAATTTGTTCCCATTCATCATTTAATTAAATTAATCTTCTGTATATTAATGGAAATAGTGTTATTTCTATTAAAAATTTTCATTTTAATTTTTTATTGTTGTAGATTAAAATAAAACTTTTTTGGTTATTTTCATATGGCCTTTTTTGAGTATTTAGAAAAAAAATTAAATGGGTGAATTTTTTTAATTTCAGTTGACGCTGTTTATGCCATGGCGCAAGCCATTCACAACATGATCACTGACGTTTGCGGCGCCGACCCGTTTATTCTGTGTAACAAATTGAGGCCTGCCCCAGCAGGAGCTGACCTCCTCGAGTACATTAGGAATCTCACATTTACAGGTTAGTCTAAATTATTAAAGGAATTCTAAAACAAAATAATCAAACTTCATATTATAAGCCAAAGCTATCAAATTAGTCTATATTATTTTTAACTCGATCAAAATAAAGCTCCATAATATTTTAAAATTGATAATTAAAGAAAAGATATTATTTGTTCGATTTAATTCAATTGCAATAATAAAAAACATTTTGCACTTGAAAAAAGGTCGGCAAGGCACTGAAATCAAATTCAACAAAGACGGCGACGCATTTGGCAGCTACAACATTTATCAATACCAGAAGAAGGACGATAAATACGACTACGTGAAGATTGGAACTTGGGAGGCGAGGCAAGTTGATAGTGTGTCACGCTGGTGTCATTTCTCTCTCACACCCCTTCTAGCCTGGCGGCGATGCTCGTAAAATATTTCCCAGACAACCTTCGCGCGGCGTGACTGACGCCGAATTACATTTTCCTCGGCACCTCCATTCCATTCCTCCCTCTTATTTGACGCAAATTTGATTTCCGAAAACAATTTTTTACTCTTCGCACAAAGAATAATCTCACAAATTTCACATTTAAAGATTGAACTTGGACATGCGCATGACCAAGTGGAAAAACGGGACGGTGCCCAAGTCGATCTGCAGCGAAAACTGCGCCCAAGGCCACATTCGCAATTTCCAAGTAACGACCGAAGACTCTCGGATCTGATTCGATAATAAAATTTGCACACATTCTCTCTCGTTACAGGACCAGTGCTGCTGGAGCTGCGTCGCGTGTCGAGAGGACGCCTACGCGTTCAACGACACATGCAAGGCCTGCGAGCCAGGTCACGCACCCAGCGCCGACAAGGCCTACTGCGTCAAACTGCCTGCTCAGGTCAGTTCAAAATTATTTAAAAAAAATTTAAATATGAAATTTTGACTAACAAAACTGTTCAGTTAGACAGAAAGTGTGTTTTAAACGGTGGAAAACTAACGATTTTTTTAAATTTCTGGGAAATAACTTCTACAATGAATTTCTGCGTTTTGAACAAATTATTTCTGGCTGAACATTTTTATTTGGTTGCTGGTCGATGTGAACTTCCACTTGATCTAAAATTTCCTGAAAACAGCCAAAACTGCAGGTTTTAAAGTCTGACCAACTTCAACTTAAAAATTTAAAAAAAAATTAATTAAGTACTTATAGAAAAAGGTCCATTTATAAAATAAGCTTCTGAATTGTCAAATTTAAAAAATGAATAAAAAGCAATTCGATTGAAACTGTGCGATTTGAACAGGTGATCGAGTGGGACAGCCCGTGGGCGTTGGTGCCGTTGGCGTTCGCCGTCATCGGCATCCTGAGCACCATTTTCGTGTTGCTGGTGTTCATCCGGTACAACAAGACGCCGATCATCATGGCGTCCGGCCGCGAGTTGTGCTACGTCCTGCTGATCGGCATCTTCGCGTGCTACCTGATGACGTTCGCCATCCTCGCCAGGCCCACGCAGCTCTCGTGCACCATCCTCAGGGTGGGGCTCGGCGTGTGCCTGACCGTGTGCTACAGCGCCATCATCACCAAGACCAACCGCATCTCGCGCATCTTCAACCGCGGCATCCGCAGCATCCAGCGGCCGTCGTGCACCTCGCCCAGCTCGCAGGTCATCATCTGCTTAGGTCAGTGCTTAATTCTGTTAATAAATTTCAATTTCAATAATTAAATATTCAGACAATTGTTTAAAATGTGAAAAATTATTGTGTGTCACAGCATTTGAAAAGGTTAACAATCGAAGATCTCACTGAGACCTTTTGTCCTTGCAATTGAGCATTAAATATTTGTAGATGAGGAAAGGAGTCCATATTTTTGTCTACTTTTGTAAATTTAAACACATTTTTGTTGTTTAAATTAATTTCACATGAGATGTATTTTAACATTTTTTTATTACATTTTTTTATTGTTCATTTAAAGCTGTTTTCGTTACCATTTGTCAAATTTTTTTCAGGTCAGTGATTTTCATAATGATATATTTTAAATTGTGCGTTCTTGGGTTAGGCATCGTTTCAGTGCAGCTTTTGGGCGCCATTGGCTGGCTGATCTACGAGAAGCCGGACGTCAAGGAGGTCTACCCGTACCCGCTGACCGCGGTGCTGACCTGCGGCGTGTCGACCTTCTCGCTGATGATGTCACTCGTGTACAACATGTTCCTCATTCTGCTGTGCACGTTGTATGCCTTCAAGACGAGGAAGATTCCTGAAAACTTCAACGAGGCCAAGTACATCGGCTTCACCATGTACAGCACCTGCATCGTTTGGCTCGCTTTTGTGCCCATCTACTTTGGCACCAACAACGACTACAAGGTAATTAGATACTTTTCCAATTCTCTTTTGTTTTACTTTCATTCTTCATTTGAATTATCCTACCCAGAGACTGGCAAACAATTCAATGAAGATGAAATTTAACTAACCGTATTTTTATTTTAAAAAATTACCTTGGACTATATTTAGATATTTTTAAATTTAAATTCAAACTACTGAAATTAGTTTTTGTGCTAACATTTTTTTCTATGAGAAAATTAACTGGGATTAAAATGTTCTTGTTTGAAATTTCATCTCATTTTTTATAACTTAATTAAAAAAAAGCAAATTTAAATTATTTCATGGCAGCAAAAGCGTGAAAAATTTTCTTCTCAATCATCTTAAACTTTAAAAAAATCTTTTTCTGTTTTATTTCAATAATTTACTTGAGAAGCTGCCAAATTTTTTTGAAATGAAGGTTCTCCAACAGGTGCAGATAGCGAGCACGTGCATGTGCGTCAACATTAGTGCGACGGTGGCATTAGGCTGTTTGTTCGCGCCCAAGGTGTACATCGTCTTGTTCCAACCCAAGAAGAACGTCCGCCAGGGCAACACCCAGGTCAGGTCGACGCGCTTCTCCGCCAGCCAGGAGGACCCGGTGAGTGCTCAAATTTTTCTCCGTAGCAAAAATATTAGTCCCGCGGGCTGCGATCGAATCATGGCAGCTCCGCTTTAAAAATTCATTAGAGAGCGCGAAAGGAAATTGGCAATACAAAACCAAATTGCTCTCCGCCGGCAGTCAAATAATTAAATCGTGATGCCCCGACCTGCGCAAATTGACCTTTAATATCATGTTTTTTTACGCCTGGAGTCATTTTCCAACGGCAGAGAGGTACTTGCAACTAACCAAAGACGGAAAACGAGTTTTTCTGCATGCGGAAAAATGCTTGCTGAAATTTTATGTACACTTCGAAAACTTTTTTTCTACGGGAAATAAAGCAATATCCGGTAAATTGCTAAAACCGGGAATTGGTATTTTTATTGAATTCAGTTTTTAAATGCAAGAGATGTAGTTATTACAAGAATAAATTTGATGCTAAAGCTTATTGATAAAATCAAATAAAATCAATCACCATTTTATTTTTTGCTTAGTTCAAAGCCAAAATATTAAGAATGCCTTGAAAAATGTGCAATGAAATTTATTCCCCATTAGATAATTTTTTGTAAATTCGTTGAGGAACAAATAAATCATCTGTTAATTGATGAAGATGAAAAAGTGACAATTGGTTTAAATATCAATTTTAGTTGAAGAGAAGAAGACAATTGTCGTATTAAGATACGGGAGGTTTTGATAAATGTATAAGGCATAAATGTATCACACATAATGACCAGGTCAAAAAAGTCATTGACCCCGGTGACATGTGACCTTTTTTGACCTGGTCATTATGTGTGATACATAAACGGAAAGAACAAGTCAAGGGGAACAATTTTTGTCGTTACACATTGTGTCTTATCTCTAACAGGAGAAAAGTTATGGCCGTTTAAAGTTGTTTTTGCATTAAAAAGGCTCGGAAAACCACGTTTTTAACTCTTTAACCCTGAATATCTCGAAAACGAAAAAAATAAGTCCTGCCATTTTTTAATATGTTGTTGGTAACTTAATTAGGCAACTTTTGGCTATTTTGAAAACAAAATATTTTACTTCCGTCGTAGTTTGATATTGACTTAAAGTCCCGAGGTCAGAAAAAGTGACCTTGAACTTTGACCAATGACCTTGCTAACCACGGCAGAGTTGTAGGACGTCTAATTTCCTACAAGTTTGACAATAGAAACATTTGCGCTATCTCAAACAGGAACTGAGATATTTTCGATTTTTGAAAATTCATTTCTTCAAAATCGCCAACTTTGAGCCCCTGTAAAATAGGCAATTTTGAGAATTTTTCAAAATCCTTCTAAACTATTTGTCTGGACCATGAAACGAAATGATGGGCCAAATTTCAGTCAATTTGGTTGACCCTTGCCAAGAGTATGTCAAATTAAAATAAATAATGCCATAATTATTCCTAAAATTTAAATTTTGTGCTAATTATTTATGCTAGTGAATTTGAACATGTTGTCCCTCCTCTGGACTGTCCCCAGGGCACAGGCGTCGCGGGAATCTCTAAGCAGCGGCCCGGCTCCAGCAGCACATATGTGATGCGCTTTTCGGGCCGAGCGGGCGCCGGTTGCATGGGCATGCAGAGCAGCCAGTCGGCGCAGTCGATGACCTCGGGCTCCGTCAGCCCCAACAAGCACGTCAACGGCGAGCCTTCGACCCTGGCGTCGCCCAGCGTCGAGGAGAGCAGCCTCAGCTAAGTTTGAAAATCGAATTCGCCGATCAGGTCAACCAGGGTTTTTGTTTAATTTATAATTTTTCGTTTCACTCGCGCGGGGGATTGAACAAAACAAAAAATTCAAAAAGCGCTTCCACTAGAAAAACGAGAGTTTTGCTGAGAGTCGGATGGCGGCGCCACTGTCGCGTCTCCACGCAATCTTCTGCAAACCTTTTGACCTTTTCCCGAAAAGGTTGGAGGCTGCGTGGAGAGCAACCCTGAGCCCATAGGTGGCACCGACGCCGTCCGTCTCGCCGGAACCCTCGTTCAAAAAAGGAAGCTCAAATACGCTTGTGATGATCCGAACGAGATAGGATATCATTCAAATGTCAATTAAAAACACACACCGCCAATTAGCTCGCGGCTCTCAACGTCAAAGGCTTTTAATCTGATTTTGATTGACAGACTTTTTCCATGATGATGCGAGTAGAGAGAACAGCGGATGAGAATTATTATTCATTAATTTATGCGTTCGAAAAGTATAACTACAGATTTTGTAAAAAGCTCAGGAAAGTCTTTAAGAATTTGACGAATCGATGATAATCATTTATTGTGAGAAAAGTGAATATTGAAATTTTCACAATCAATTGAACAAACTAAACTTATTATTTTTATTAAATATTATTAAATTTGGAGACTTGCGGTGATTTGATATTTACGATGAGATTAAATATTCAAGACCCGAACCAGTAAAATCTTAAATTGTGATTCTGAAATTAGACAAAATTTAATAGTCCAGGTCAAAATAACGATCGGAGAATTTTCACCTCTGAGCTTTAAACCATTTGAACCATGTTAGGGATGCTGTTTTTAGAAATTTAGTAATTTATCAATCAGGACTGAATTAAGGTTCAAAATTGGCGGGAAAATCAGGTGCTCTTAAGGTGCGAGTCGTAGAATTTTGTCCGCTTTCAGAATAAAGGAAAGAAAATTCCCGCTTCGGGTCTTTACTCAAAATTTTCAGATTCTCCAAAAGCTTTGAATTAAAAGGGGCTGGGAGTGAATTTCGAAACGATAAATTGCCAAACCATAACTGAAACTCAATCAGCCCCTTTTGTGAATGCCAATTATCAATTTCCATTTTAAAATATAATTGAATCTGTGTTTCGCTCTGTGTGGGGTTGCGGTTATTTGAATTCGCTTTTGCCAATCTGAGCTTTTGTATTGCGTCGGCGGTCGGTCGGCGCGTGCACTGAATTGAAAACTAATCAAAACAGGCAGGTGCCAAATTACTTCATACACGACGATCGATGGATAATATTTATTTTTGCGAGGTGAAAAGCTGCTGTAAATATACACCGGTACGGATGGATGGGATTATATCAATCGTTAAAAAAATCACGGAAAATAAAAGAATCAACGGAGGCCCTCGAAAACCCTTTCCTTGATAATCAATTATTAATTAAAGAGGAGACTACTTTGTGTGTAGTTGTTCTGCTGAAAGTGAGCAATAAGGTGTAAAATTAAAATTTAGAGAGCAAAAAACGTTTCAATCAAAACCTTCGTACGTCTTTTTCCCTTTTCTCCAACCGTCTGTGTGTGTATATCAAAAAGAGTAATTATATCGATGTTTAAAGTAAAACGAGACAAAGTTTAAAATTCAATCGAAATCTAACCGTCTGTTGAAGCAATATATAAGTAGGATGTTAAAAATACTACTGTGGGTCGTTTTAGAAAAAAAAAATCGGAGTGTAATTTAAATCGCTGTGAATAATAATCAACTTTCTCTTCGTGTAATAAGAAGCTCAACTTTTTTTAAATAGCGGCTGCTGACTTTTGCCAAAGTGCTCCGAATTTATTCAGCTCTTCTTTCTGTAAATTTTTAGCCATTTTCTGAATATATTGTCAAGCGGAGAAGCAGAGGCGAAGTCCAGTACTTCTATATACAGTCGGAGGAGGTTTGCTCAAAAATTTTCGGGGTTCGTCACAACGTTTCTAGTCCATTTGTGTAGCACATGCTGTCCCTCGAAAACATTCGAAAGGTAGCCAAAGAATTGAAAGAAAGAATTTCTCTTCCTATTGTTGTTGTCGATTATGTTGAAGAAAAATGTTCACTCTTTGAAAAGTGTGCAGGAAATTATGTACTGCTCGTCAATGTTATAAAAAAATGAAGTTTATTCATTAAAAAAATATAATATATATAAAAAAAAATTGAAAATATTTTATTTCACACGCCAAAAATTGATAAAATGATGCAGCTAAAAACTATCAATTTAAGTATCCAACTTAAAGAATTTATTCATTGAAATCGCCCAAAAAATTTTAACATCACATTTTGTGCAAAGATAAATCTTTTTTTTTTTGCTGCAATGAACAATGTATTTGTTAATTAAGAAACTTTTGATCTTAAATTAACAGTTTCAAATGAAATAAAAATAAAACACGGTGAATTATTTTCAACTCCTCGTATTTAAATTTCTTTCAAATTCACTTTATCATCGTGGTGCAACCGAGAGAAATTTTGGAAACGCAATATATTCCACCAATGTGCCCACAAACGCGGTGACCTTTTAAATAGTCATTAAATTTTCAAAGGTCTCTCGTGTTTCCACAACACGCGGCAATTTGGGCATGCTCTTGACACCGAGCCGCTCTTTAGTCTTCGGCCGCAGACAAAGGGAATTATTCAGCACTCACCGCAGGCCTGTAATTTTGCACAATTTCCATCGGTGGATAAAAGCGAGAACGCGGTGGAGCCGCTCGTCAGATGAAGAAGCGACCCGACGGCGGGCACCAAGGGTGAGAGAAACTGACAGTCAAAATTGCAGAAATTGACACGTCCCTCGGGCTTTTCAAATCCTTTTTATTTTGGAATAACCTTAAATTTGCTGACAAAATTTCATTTCAACGTCATTTACATTATTGTAATTTTGTAATGTAGCCGAGATTTCTTTTTTTTTTCGTCAAGGAAATCAACTTTTGGAGTTAAAATAGAAATTTTTGATTCAACCCCTGTGGCTGCTATCAAAATTTTACAGCGATTAAGGAAGGGGGAGGAAAATTAAGTCATTTTGAATAACTGTTTTAAAAAATCAGTCTTTTTAACTGTCGATCTCTTCACATAATTCCCGTAGCGATTTTTCAAATCGTTTTTTTGAGATGGCGAGTGAAGGTTGCGAAAGTCCTGCGACCCTTCGAAGGAGGGCAGCCCACAGCAGGTGGGGCATGTTGCGCGGCGTGATTTACACCTTCAGAGAATATTGTCATCACTCGTCGCTGCACGGCCTCAAGTACCTGACGGACGAGCGGCGACACCCGGTGGACAAGTGAGTCAATTTTCGCCTCTCGAAACTTTGCCCGTTTTTCATTTCTAGTCGAGGGAGAAGTAAATCAAAGTTAATTCGGCGCCGACGACGACGCGTTTGGTCGCGCGTGAAAAATTTATCGTTGTTTCCAAACTGCAAGGTTGTACTGGCTGGTGGCGTTCATCAGCGGGCTCAGCCTCAGCTACTTCTTCATCGTGGCCATCTGGAGCAAGTGGGAGGAAAACCCGATCATCGTCTCGCTGGACACGACGGCCGCCATCATCAACGACATCCCCTTTCCGGCCGTCACCATCTGCAACATGAACAAGATGAAACGATCGGCTGTCGAGAAACTCACACTCAGGTCGGTCGAAATAACAAATTAGTTCAAAATACACGCTCCATAATTCTAATAAATCCAACTATTTTTTTTTAAAAAGATTGCAAAATATTTCATCAAAATTTTTTCAACGATTTTTATTGAAAAACTGTTAAAAAGGTTGCTAAATTAATAATTAGAGTGACAGAGAATTTAATTTTAAATTTTCTATAGTCATTCTTGTGGGAATTTTGTAAATTTATATTTTTCAAATTTCTCTAATAAATAATAATTCATAACAGATAGGCAACGAAGTTGGTTTTGAACCTCTAAAGGAAGTTAATTTGTCTGAAAAAAAAATATTTTTCATCATCTATGATCAGAATTTTATTCCAGGGTTTAAAATAAAAATTAAAAATTAGCTTTCTTTGGTCCGGCATATTTTTGAAGATTTGCAACACTGGAAACTTGATTTCTTTTCTAAGCAGTCAATTTCAAAATTTAATATTGATCTAATTATCAATGGTTTTTAAAACATTTCAAAACGTCGTTTAAAAAAACCAATTTTTTTTAAATGAAATCAAGAAAATTCCAAATTTTTTTTTATTATTATTTTGAACCCGCGGTGAGCCGCTTTCGGTCAGTGGTTTGCACTTTCTGAAGGTTCAGGTCGGGAGAGAGAAACGCGCATAACAAGCAGCTGTTAAGGAGCATGAAGGACGTCATCAGGTGGCGCTCCAAGACGGCGTCAGGCTCCTTCTTTTCCAACGGCAGTGACGCGGCCATCGACGCCCTCGTCACGCAGGACACCACCCTGGCGCCCGATAACCTCAGCGACGAGGACGTCACTGGGCAGAACATGGCTGATTTCATGAAACAGGTACTAAAAAAATTTTTATCTTTTATCGATCTATTTATTACTTTTTATCAGTAAAAATTATTGACGGGTTTGAAACGACAAACTCTATTTTGCTTTTTTTTTTCCTTGACAATTCTGGGAAGCTCCGTTATTTCATTCGATATTTTTAATGTCTCTATTAGAGTATTTTATTATTCCTTTCCCTCTAAAATGACAGAACAACGATTTCAAGAGCAGGAAATTGTTTTCTGTGATGCACAAATTATAAAATGATGATAGCAGAAAATTTAATTCAGAGTTTCGATTAATCTTCTATAGGATAAATAGCTTTCATTGTTTTCCCAATGTAATCAAGAATTCAATTTATGGTTTCTGAAAATGAGGCCGGCGGTATTTAATTTAATGAATCAATAATCGCATATAAAGTCGGCAACCTGCGTGACACCGATGCGCTGCCAGTTGCCTATCCCGATTTTGCAATATTAATCCTAGGACTGAAGTAAGCCGACCTCAAAAGATTTAAATAAAATTGAACATTTTTCAAACAATTTCTTTCCAAATTTTTCCATGACTTTCCTTTCTTTTTAACTTTTCAAGCGTATTTATTTTTATTTAAAAATAAAACTAATCTAAAAGTCGACAAGTAGAAGAGGAACGGAATGTCAGTAATTTAAGTAAATTTCCCGTCTGCTTTCCAAGAATTGCAAATTTTCCGGGCAATCTTGGTCGTTCGATGTTGCGCGTAGAGAGGCTGCTGCCTGGGCGGCCCTTCCACGGTTGGCCCTTTTGCTGCCGAGATAGCGTTGCTTGCTTTTTGTTACAGGTGACGCCATCGTGCAGGGACATGCTGAAGTACTGCCGCTGGGACAGCGTCGTGGAAAATTGCGAATCGCTTTTCCAGGTCATTTTTCTCTAAGAAATATATAAAAAAAATAATGTGTAACAGTTCTCTCAGAAACGTTTTATGAAAATATTTTATTTTATCGTTTAAAATTATATTATTTCTCAGAAAAATTATAAATTTGCACAAAATACTTTTTTTTAAACATTAAAATATTTTTAAATAAGATTTATTTTATTCAATTATTTTTAAAATTCATTACTTATTTTTTCTAATTTTACACTATTTGGTTAATTTTTTTAAATTAAATTAATTAATTATTGCTCTTAAATTTATTCAGGAAGTTACTTCTGACGATGGTTTATGCTGTGCCTTCAACACTTTGCCAGAAGCACTCATAAGACGACCATTGAGGTGAAAACAATCTTCAATTTACCAATTATTTGTGTCTCAAAAGGTTTGTTACGTTAAATATTTTTGTACCTTTTGAATGCGCAGTGGAGAAACGGATAATTATACCGAGCATTGGACTCCAGAGATAGGATACGTGCGAGAAAACGACACTTTTCCCAAAAGAGGGGCTGCGCCTGGTGTTTCTGCAGGGCTCACTTTGCTGCTTGACGTTCAGATGGAGGAGTATTTTCTGCCACGCTCAGGCTCCGTTGGATTCAAGGTTTCATTTTTTTACTTCTTCAAATTAAAATTGACATTAATATCATTAAATAATGTATCATCTGAAAACGCACTTAAAAATGCAATGCTTAAGTTTTTACTAACTAATAGATGGGTGGAAATATTTATCTTTATATTTTTATTTAAATTGCTAAGAAAACAGGCCATGTCCTCGTTGGAAAAGCTGCTTTGAAAAAAAGTATCTACCAGTTTTATTGGAGGTCTGTGACCATATTTGATGAGCCAAAAGAAAATGTAATATCAAAAAAGCGAAATTGAGAAAAACCATTCAGAACTTTTTTTATTTTGCTTCTTCTTAAGATAAGGCATGACAAAGCCCATTTTCTTCACTATATGAATTTTAACTTGCATTAAATTATTCATTGATTTGTTTTTTAATTTATTTAAATGAAGTTGCTAAATTACAATTAATTATAAATTTCCAGATAATTGTTAGTGTGCGTGTGTTTTTTTTGTTAAAATTAGTGTGTTTTGTTTGTGTTGTAAAGTGTAAAGCAGTTTCAGGGGTTAATTTTTAAGAGGTTTTTCCAGTAAATCCACGTAAAAACCTCTAAAAATTATAAATTTGTTAATCTTTTGGATTGAAAAACAATTTTTTACTTATGATCATAAAAGTAAGATAAGATTTCAAATTCCATTTGTTTTTTTAGTGTCAATTGAATCGTCTTTTAATTCTCAGACTTATTTTGGAGCTTTTATCAACTTTCATCATTGGTGTTAAAAAAAAATATGACATATATTTGAAAAGCAAGAAAAGTTATAAAAATTTTCTATTTTCTAATTTAAAATTAACTTTTTAACAAATTATTTTAATAAACTGTACAATTAAAAAAAAAATGTAGGTTTTGCTGCACAGTCCGACGGACGTGCCTGCCGTGAAGGAGTTTGGGTTCGCCGTGTCCCCGGGGGCCGAGAGCTTCATTTCAGTGCGTCCGTCGCAGGTGTACTCGACGCGGCAGATCCGGTCGCTGAACCAAAGCCGGCGCAAGTGTTACTTCGAGGAGGAGCGGCCGCTCGCCTTCTTCCGCATCTACAGCGTGTCCAGCTGCGTGGCCGAGTGTCTGGCGAACGCGACGCAGCGCAAGTGCCGTTGCCGCGAGCACTTCATGCCCGCCGCAAACGACTCGGTCCGCGTCTGCGGCTTCCTCGACACCATCAACTGTGTCAAGGACATCGGCGACGGTGAGAAATTACAACAATTGACTCTCAACTCGTTAACACCCACTTCGTATCGACGACGTTTGGACAAGTTATTTTTTGAAATTATTTAGTGTCCACTCAGTATATAACGTTTTGCTCAACATCAGTGCTTACAAATTAGAAAAATAAGGAAAATTGCTTGAATTTGGAAATTTAATCATGAAATGAAATTGAAATGTAAAAACTGAAACTTTTAATTTTAAATGAAAATTAAAATACTAAATATTTCAATAAATTTGACAATAATGATGAAAAATTATATAATTTATATCTTTAAACACATTCATTAATTAAAATCGGAGAAAATTCCAGATATAAATCTTTCCTGCACATCATTGCAGTTTGCTTGAAGAAATATTTTTAAATTTTGTATCAATTTTTAAAGATCATTTCCTTTCTGCCCCCAGTGATTTCGGGCAGCTCGAACCGCAAATTGTGCGACTGCCAGCCTGCGTGCACCGAACTCAGCTACAGCCACGAATTGTCGTCGACGCGGTTTCCGACCTCAAACGACCTGGGCACCAACACCCTGGACAACCTGAGAAACGCCATCCAGCACAACGAATCGTTCGAATCATTTGTGTGAGTTTTTTTGTATCAAAGAAAATAAGGCTTTTATTCTCGGACGAGTAAGAATTGATTGAAATGAAAAATTTACGCTCCAAACGAATTTTAACCCAAAGAAAGTTAAAATAGAAAGTTTATTCTTCTGATAATTAATAACATTAAAATTTTAAAAAAAGTGCAAATTTGTTTAGTTAAAATTTTATTTTTATTTTGACCAAATCCACAAAATTTTGCATTCTTCATTCCAATTCAAATTCATTAATTTAAAATGTATGCACAAAAATAGTTATACATTATAAAATCATAAAATGCTGCGTAGAACATAAAACAAAAATGTGGGGTGTTCAATTGTGCAGAAAGAACCACGCCCTGGTGCACGTGTTCCTCAGGGACTACAAGGTGATGCGGTACAAACGGGCGCGCATGTACGACATTCTGGATTTCACAGGTTCGAATTAACGCAGGCGGCGAGCGTGAAATCGAGTTTGAATTAATTTTCGTTGTATTACTTGCAGCCAACCTGGGCGGGCTGCTCAGTTTGTGCCTCGGGTTCAGCTTCCTCAGCGCGGCCGAAATCATTTACTTCGCCTGCATGCGGTGCGGATTCCTCAGCCGAAGAAGATGAAAAATTTACATATTTAATTCGACAAATTTTTCAAATGAAGTAGAAAAAGTAGCAAATCATGTAAAAATAAATTATTGTATTTTTTGTTGTAATTTACTTTTTTGTTTCATTTTAACTAATGATCAATTAGCTTATATTCAATATCAATAATTTTCTAAATAAGCTACTTAAATTCTAGAGAGAGTCTTGTAGAAATTTTAATTACCAAAATTTGGACAAGTATTTTAAACATATTTGATTTATTGATCTGCAATCCAATTTTTATTTTATCTTTTAAATCAAATACCAGAAAAGGACAAGGAGTATTTTTGTGTTATGAATATTCTCATTAAATAAATCTAAATCAACTCTTTTATATTTTTAACTATATTTTTTAGAAAAATTAAGAAAAATTAAATATTGAAAAATTGAATATATCTTAGAAACATTTTTTCACAATTTTTTTGCATATTTGCAAAGAATTAATAAAAAGAAATGGCGATTTTTTTTTAATTACTGTAATTACATGCAGTGATTTGGTTGTTTTTGTCGAATTAAAGTGATTTTGTGTGTGCGTTTGATTGGCCGGTCGGTTTGGCGTGTATATTATTTAATTGAGTCAGCGTGCTGATGAGATCTGCGGTGGCAAACGGAGTAAGCCGCGTGCAGAGTGATAAATAGAAAGAGCTAATAAATGATGCCAGATATCCGGTCATGTGATCGCACATTACTATTGCCACTTCCCTTTGCGAGGTGGGGAACGAATGCAGATAGGAGGATGTGCGAGGAAAGTGGCGCGGGAACTGAGCGAGCTGATTGCATTGCACAGCAAACCTCCCTCGGCAGCTCCTCCAAGAAGTACTTCTTCTTTCGCACGACCGAAAAAAAATCGCAGTTAAACAAAAAAAGAAAAACAACTCGACTGTAAAAAAGCAGCAGTTTTACGACTGCTCCAGCCGCTTTTATTACAAAATAAATGAGCCCATCATGTCGTTGCTGAGTGAGAAGCAAAACAAGAGACGCGACGCAAATAGAAAAAGTGAAAACTTCCACAACCTTTTTCATGTAAAGAAAGATTTCATGGAAAAATTTAATAAAATCCAGGATTTGATGTAGTTTTAATAGCATATTTTTGCGAGAAAAATCTACTTAAAGGAATCGTGTCATAGTTTAATTGTTACCTGTTTTTAATAATTTTAATGAAATAATGTTTACAAGGAAAAAATATTCAGAATATTTACACATTTATAAGCTGAGAACCATGAAGATATTATAATTTTTTTCGTTGGTACGAAGCACAGAAATGTAGTTTCTATATCAAAGTCTGACCTTCTCATTGATTATTTTTTCAACCACAAAATAAAGCAGTTTCTCTTCTTTAAATATTGAGCTTGTCAAAAAAGATGTTATTTAATTTAATAAATTTATTTTCGATTATGTAACCCGTTCATAGCAGAAAAATGAGATAAAATCTTTTGGTTTTTAGTAGGAGAGTAAATTCAAAATTTGATTTTATAAAATAAAAAAATCCTATATATTCAAAAAATTTCAAGGTTATCAAATTTTTATAGATTTTGTTTTGCAGGTTGCATGGTCACATATATTTAAGGTCATCTTTATTATTTTAGTTGAAAATCCTCGTTAGTTAATCTTAAAATTTAGCATTCGGAAATTTTTAGCAGAATTTGTTTTTCAGTCATAAATTTTGAAGATTGAATGCAACAGACAATTAAAAACGTCAAGAATCATAAATAAAATAAGTTTGGTTAAAAAAAAATTGAATTTTTGAAAATTTTAGGTACAAAATTGACCAAATGTATAAAAAGCAAAAATCTTTTCCTTTTACATTTTTCCCATCTCCTTATTTAGTTTATTTCATTTGATTTAAAATTTTAGGCATAAAAGATCAATGATGGAACTTTTTTAGCGTAGAAAAATTATTGAAATAAAAACTAATCAAATGTATAATTTTTTCGCGTAATTTAGAATTTAGAAACTAATTTATTTAAAGTTATATTCAAACATGTAACACTATGAAATTGGCAAGGATGCAAATAAATAAATCCTGTTGATGTCCTGCACATGGTGAGAGTCAACAATAAATGCCTCTCTTTCTTTCCAGTGACGAGCCATCAATTTTCGTGAGCCCCTGATATCAACGAGAGACATTTTTATTGCAACATTGCTCTCTTCCTCACATCTGCCGGCAACATAAATAAATAAATTTACACAAGAGCGGCCTAATTGGGCAAGTGGCCTCTTTTTTTGCTTTGTGGATTTTTCACATGGAGCGTAACGTTTTTTTTTTTTAGTCTCGCGCGATCGTAGAGGCTGCAGCTGTACTACCACATAATGTATTAAAGTGTTCGGCGGCGGCGAAATTGTAAAAGCAGCGAGGGGACCAGCACGGCGAATATCCATCCACAGCACACCATCGTTCTCGCTTGCGTAATTGACACATTTGATGTATTCTGACGAGTAGAGAACGATCTAAAGAAAGGCTAGACTTCTTGAGCAATCTCTCATTCCAGCTGATTCCATCAATGTCTCTAAATTTAGCCTACGAGCTTTTGCGGCCGTTTCTCATGATAGGAACGATGTAATCAAATACAAAAATTGTATCCATATTATAAACCGTTGTAATTTTACTTATGAAGGAATAATCCCGAAAAAAAATGAAGTTTTTAACTCTTGCCCGGAAAGGTTTATTTTCCAATGTATGTTTTGCCACATAGAGTTTTAACAAAATCCGCAAAAAAAATTTGAATTTAACAAAAAATTCATTACTTCGATAATTCAATTTTCTTTTATCTTTGTTGTTTAATCATGAAAAAGAAAGTATAAAATAAATAAAAAACTCAGTTTTATACGTTGCAGTTTAAAAAAAAAAAAAAAAAAAAAAAAAAACGTTTTAAATTAAATACATAAATGGGAAAGCGTTGAAAGGGATAACTTTTATAGTTGTTTTTTTTAGCCAAAATTTTGAAAATAAATTTATATCTATAAGCTAAAAAAAAAAACACCGCCACAAGCAAAGATTATTTTAAAAAATATCTCATCCGCCTCATTGAGTTTAATAAATAATTGATTCTTAAAGTTTATAATAAATTTAATTTAAAGATAATTTTTTTCACCTAGAATTTCTTCAAATTTTGCTCTAATTTATGTGCATTCAGTACATTTTTTTGAAAAATTTAAGCATTTTCCATGAATCTACTAAAATTTCCAAGGAGAGCCAATGTTTTATTTGCATTGTTGTGTCGCAACTTTCAAAGTGTTTATTGAAAGGTAGGATTTGAGCTAAACTCTCCATCAATCCTTTTATGCAAATTTGATTTATTTATTTATTCTCCATTCAGATACAATGAAATTGATCAAAGGTTTCAGATTTAATTTTACCAACAAAAAAATTGCTTAGAAAAGAACCCTTAATTTTTCCTTTAAATAAATCTTATACAGAATATGAGAGTAATTTCCCTTTATTTTTCAAAAGTAGATGAACAACGGAAGTCGTTCTTGCATTTTCAGCGTGCCAGCTCGTTCGCCTTTTGACAAATTCGTTGGGTCTGCGTTAGGCAGCGCTGACATTAGTCATCTTTCTCCGCCGCGAAATCGGTCCACATTATTTTTGACAAATCAAATTTTGTCCCGAAAAATTGCGGGCGAGCGAGTGCCGAGCACAGCATAATATAAATTTAGGCCGGAAGCGCAGCGAGTCCCTGGGGAGGAGGCGCGCGCATGCCGAATTTTATTGCGGCCCCAAGGGTGGGTCGATATGGGTGTGCTAAATTTCGGCAGCTGCGCCCCAGACCTGAGAGTCCAGGGCTGGAAAATGGGTCACTGCAGCCGGGACGCAAACACGGCATGGCAACAGCGCCCGTTTCGCCTTTTCCCGCCAAGGTGTGCAACAGATTTCAGCTAGACTCTTTCTGGCTCAGTGCCAGTCCGAGGGTGGAAAATCACAGGGGTGGCTCTAACTGCATAGAAGGAGAGAGGGAGAGATTTATAAATTCTGCATGTAAAGCCAAATTCGCATGATTCTATTAGGGGCTGATTTATTTATTTAATAGATAAAGATCTGAAAACGTTTTTGGAAATTTTTATAAAAACATTCCTTTATATTAAAATAAAATTTAGTTTTTAAACTGAAAAATATGAAAAATTTAACAGGGTTTAACTTCGTTGAAAAAAAATTATGAAGGGCCAACTGACCCCAAAAGTAGCCGTGGAGGAATTTTTTGTCCCAAAAATTGGAATATTTTTTAATCTATAAAGCCCAAATACGCCTTTTGGTTTCTTTAAAATTAAAACTTCAAAATCACCTACATTTGACAAAAATATCTGTTTCGACAAAAAATCCGAATCTTAAAAAAACTTATATTTGAAACAATTGACGCAACTTGCTTAACAAAATAGAAATTTCATACAATTTCAACCCGCTTATAAATTTAATTTAGGTTATTTCCAAATCTGGAAAATAACATTAATATGTTCATTTCTTACCAGCCTTGGGTAGTTTATCAAAAATTGTTTCGCGGGTTGCATAGTCAAATCTTAAAAGGCGCTCAATTTGAAACATTTTTATTTCAGGATCAAATATGACATTGAAAGCTGGTCTGAATTCAAATCTGTATTGTTTTCTAAAATAAATGAAATTTTTGAGGACATTTGAAGTTCTTTGGGTCATTTTTCATTTGCCGATTGACCGCAGACTGTCAACTTTAAGAGCTGCTGTTGGAATTATTATTTTTGCACATTGAACCGCATCGCCAGCAGTGCGAACGAGTGGATGGATATGCGTGTGTGTGTGTCTTCTTTTTATTCACGATTCGCTTGGCAGCCGCGAACCAGCGCAAGAATGGAAAGAAAGGGCGAAAGTGTGAATGCCATTCGGCGCTGCTGGATTCATGAATTACTTCCTGGTCCCTACACAGCACAGCAAACTCTCTCTCGCACTCCCCATTCTTCCTGTCAGCGCAGCGTTGATGTTCATTGCTCATTTAAAAGTTGGCTCGTCTCACGCGCGCTGCGTCATAATGCATTTCAAAAATTATTTCCTTTGGCAATTGATAGCACGCCACACTATCGCGCCCACCGCATCGCAGCCACGTGACACACAAATTCGCTTCGGAACTTTGAACTGGAAAAGAGAAAAATCGTGATGATTCTACAAGGGTTAAAATTTTCCACAAAGAAAACCCCCAGTTAATAAATTATTTTATTATAACTGTTCTAGTTTTAGCACAATTACTAGTAAAAATTAATTGAACAAAGGTTATATAATTAACAGTAAAATAAAAAGCTATAAAAATTTAAGTTTCATGATGATGAAAATAAATAATTTTTATTCGGCTTGGCTGGACTTGTGTCATACAAAAAATTTAATCTGAATAACCTACTTTGCAAAATCGCAAACATCCATTGACATAATAAATTGCAAACTGACAACTTGAATTCAAATGAGATAAGGCCAATTTTGTACTCCAACTAGAAATTCAGAATATAAAAAGAAGCCATGTTGAAGTTCAAAATACGTAAAATATATTTAAATAAATTTGTAGCAAAACTTATTTCGTTGTGGCCCCTTTAAGCAGAAACTCCCCAAGGCCTCATTCCTGAAAATCCGCGCTACCGAAAAGCATAACAAAGTTAAAAATTTCCACCATCCAAGAGCAACAGTGTTCTTCTTCTTTTCCACTCTCTCCTTTCTCTTTTATGTCTCGAGGAAAATTTCAATTTTCTCTTCTTGCCCCTCGTCGTCGCACCCTCTTCTTTTACGAGAGAGATTGTATGCGTGACAAGCGCAAAGGCTCGGAATTTTAAATCACGAGACGTGCGGCAACACAATGGGCTTGAAATGAGCGACCAGAAAAACGAACACACGCAGGGTTTTAATATCTTTTCTGAAATATAAAACATCTCAAATGATAAAAATCTTATAGAATTAAACTAAATCGTTTCCTTTTAAAATAATAAATTGGTCTTTTAAAGTTACTTTCAACTCTTTCTTTGATTTAATTTATTTTTTCCTCGCAACCAAAATTTTTTAATGGGTCAAAATGAGTCATCCGTCTTTTACGACGAGGTGGTCAATTTGGTTCTCAAGAATGCGAAACTGCGTCTTTTGATAGCCGACGTCCGCGCACATGGTGCTGCATTAATTCAGAGTGACGTTTGCATGTGCTGGACTCTAATAGAACCACGCTTTCCTCCAACTTAATTAGCTCCATTCGGCGGAATAGGCGAAAATTGCTTTTAAATTGAAGGACGGAACGAGCGGCCGAGAGAAGAAGGAATTAAGAGTTGGAGAAAAGAAAAAAAGAGAACGCAGGTACATGGAAAAAGGAGAGAGAAGCAATCTCTTCGAGGGCGCAATCAGAACCTCCTTTCTTCCGATCCTTTTTTTTATAATTATCTTCTTGCAGCCTCCGATTAATTACTGGTTCATTGTCAGAGAGAAAAAAATAGAAAAGATCAACAAAAAAGAGGTGGAAAAGATATTTCTGCTGATATATTTATTTTTGTTATATTTGAAAATTAATTCTCATTGGCAGGTGAAATTTTAAAAGATAAATTGCAAATTGCACCTCGTTTTTAAACTTTCCACCTTAGTGAACAAAATGAGTAGTGCGATTAACAAGGGTGGTTTTCGGAGTGAGGGTTGGTTTGCTTTGTGCACAAAATACAAATGCGGGTGTAATTTATTTTTCACGGTGCGAGAGGAGCCGAACGCGAATTAGAGCCACCAACCGCGAGCTGCTGGGGGGAAGAGGGGCGCCTGTTTCGAAGGGACTAATAATTATTGTCCCTAAATTGGTGGCCGGGAGGACCCCGGCCGAGAGAGAGCGAGAGAGTTGTGTAAAAAAGTTGCTAGGTGTCATAATCGGGGCCAATTGGCGCTCGTCGAAAGAAGCAAATCGGGGGCTGGCGGGGGCGGAGAGGCGGGCGCGCCCACTCTGCGCGCCTCTCACTCTCTGCCCGGCTAGTTCTGCTGCGGCTGCGGCCTGCTCGCGACATGCAGTGAGAAGAGTTGGATCAGTGTGACTTACCTCCGCACTGCTGCAGCCTCGTCGGCCCCCGGCTTCGTCCACCCCCGCTGCCCCCAGCAGCAAACCCTCAGGTACTTGGAAAATTTCACCCTTTTTTCCGTTCTCCGTTTTGTTAAAAAATACGAACTTTTTCGTTTGAGCAGTTTTTTCTTTTCTTTCTTTCTTTTTACTCCTGTGAAGCAGCAACCTGTCGCACACACACACGCAAAGCTGGAAATCCGCTTTTCGCCCGCCGAAGTGCTCTCGTCGCAAATTGAGAGAGCCTTTCTCGCTCGCACATAAGTCAAAAGATTTTGTTTGACGCTCTGATCGATCGCCTGTATTGTTCTTCCACTCTCGTATCGGAAAAGCAGAAAAACATGGCGGGCGTTGCTTTTCCAATTTGACTCGCAAGCACTCCATTGCTATGTGAGAGTGGAGCAAAAAAAATTGAAATGTGATTTATTTATTAATATTTCTCGAGATTGAAGTTAATTTGAAATTTTTTCCTTTTTTTTTGTGGATTCGAGAAGTACATAAAAAAAATTGATAGCGCTTTTTTAAAAGAAAGCAGTTTCTCCAATGCAACTCACCTTTTAGTAATTATTAATTTCTAGTTCTTCGTCCATTCTTTTTAATTCATGCAATAATTCACATTTTTTCGCGAATCAAAATGTTTTCTATTTAATTAATTTATTAAATTGAGCCAATTTTTAAATTAATTTTTCAATCGGTGTGTCCCTCCTATTTTGATTTAAAAATGGCTGAAAGTAATTTTGAAATTGATTTTCTAAATAAAGTTTAGGGTACAAAATAAGTATTTTATGCCAATATTTAGGAATGATAAACTGACAAATTCAACAGAGAACACATCAAAATTAAAATTTTTCCGAAAATTTTATTAGTTCAAAAATAATTTTGTTTGATAATTTTATAAAAAAAAAATTAATACAGCTAAATTATGATTTTCCTTCAATTTCGTAATTTTTTGTCTCTTATTCAGTCAAAATTCATACCCTTCTGTTTTTTTTAAGGGCTGCATTAATGTGCAATCTTTTCTTCTCAATTCGCACTTAAGACTTTTTCTTTTCATTCGTCTGGACTCATGACTTTATAACCTGCAGATTAAAAGTGTCCTGAAAGGATTTGATCTAAAAGACACTCTCTTCGTCCAACGGATGATTTCCATTTGCAGAGAGAGCAGGCGCTGCTCCGTCGTCATTTTAACGAAAAAAAATTAGCTCCTGTGGAGAGTCGCGGTGGCTTTGGCGGTGCTCGCTCGCTCGCTATTCAACCCTCTCCTTTCTTTGTGTCAGCAGCCAGCAAAAAATCGCGTGTACGTTTTTCTCTGGCTGGCTGACTGGCTGGCACCGCTGCTGCCACAGTGAAAGGAAGAGAAAAACGCGCGCCCCGCGAGAAAAGAAAAAGTAGCATCCGCGGATGCTGCTTGCAGGTGCCTCCTGCCGATCCATTCAGAACGAAATTACAGGACGAGTTAACCTCAAAAGAGCAGGTCAGCTGAAAGCTGAAAGTTGACACACACACACATATATACACACGCTCCGAAACCCCTCCCTCCTTTTGCATGGAAAAATCGATAGGCTGCAGACACGAAATTAGTCCTGGAGAATTTTGCAATTTTATTTTAAAGTGGATGCGTGAGAACCTGCAAGTTGGTACAAGTGATACACCGTTGGAAAGCGGATGATTTGAGCTTTCAGAATATTTAAAGGAAAATAAATAAAAACCGAAGTTAAAGTTTTCCATTGAAAATCAATTAATGAAGCCAAACAGTTGGCACGCCTGTAAAAACGACAATATTTTGAAAAGATATCGACCAAAAAACTTTGGTCGCCGTTTAAATTTGTGAGATAAAGTTGATTAAAGTACTCAAATATTTTCAGTGAGTTGTTTTAACGTTTTGCAATTTCTTTTGCACAAATTTTTTAACAAGTTTCACACTTTTTCCGTCCTCTTGCAGGTTTGCAACCTTTTATTTCAGTTCAAATCCTCTTTAATAAATATTTTACTTGTTGCTATGCCTCTCTCCCCTTCCTTCCGCTTTTAAGAGTGCGTGGCGTATCAATTTTTGGACACAATTAATACATGCACTATATGGAAATTTATGGAGCCTCAGCTCTCGCGCGCGCATAATTTATCGATCGCTGGCTGGCAGGCTCGGCTCGCAGTGACTAATTGAGGGGCCTCGCCAAAAACGCCTCGCCGCATAAATTATACACATTTTTTGGCAGCGGATGGATGGATTGGTCGCTTTGGTCCAGATATTGCATTTGCACGCGCCATTTAGCTTAATTAATCCAACAGCGCTCCTTTTTCTCTCTCTTTCGGATAACGATCTGCTGCGAGCAGAGCGAGAGAGAAGCTTTTAATTAATAAACCAGCAACAAGCTGCTGCTCTCCCTCCCCTATTTACTGTATGCGCCGCCGTGGCAGATTTCCATCGGGGTTGCGAGAGAGCGAAATTCGTCGCGAAATCTCACTGACCTAATTTTAGTAATTTTACTCTTGAGGAAATTGAGAGGCACGCTCGAATTACCAATTACGCGTTTCGGTTCTAAGTAAATTCTAGACTATGTTTGCTTTCATAATTTGATGGTTCTTGTCAAGACAATTCCAAAGATATGTAGAAAATTTTGTTTTGGATGATAAATTGAATTCATTGCATATGGCTGCCGGAAAAGTTACTTAACATTATTAATTATTCCTCTTGGAATTTGTGGACTGAATTTACTAATTGTTTCTTTAAGTTTAGTTTTTTATAATTCAGAATGGAGATTAGTCAATTTTCAAAACTTAGAATGCAAGAATGAGTTCTGAAATATTCGCAAACCGCTAAATTATGAAACTTTCCACAAATATCAGCGCCACCAGAAAAATTAAATAACTAGTCAAATTTTGAGCATCTGAAAATCTTTTTTACGAGTTTGAGGTCACAAGCAATTCAAGAGGTAAAATTTTATTCAAAAACAACTTGAATAAATTCAAAAGAACTAATGAAAAAGTGAACTTCAAAAATTTTCTCTTGCCTGTTTTCATGTAAAAAATGACTGCATTTTTATAAAATATTAGGAAAATTATCATGTCTCTGGGGGAAAAAATCGTCATTCATTTTTTCGTTCAGGGACATTTATATTTTCCTTTTGCACATATATTTTCTGTACGTGCTCTCGCACGCTGTGACCCCTCGAGGGTATCACCATGTCACCAACACTAGCCACTCAATGAAATGAATTAAATGCAGCAGCAGCGGTGGCGGCAGCCAAGCGAATTTATTTGTGTGCGTCTGTTGTTGAAGTGAACTCGTTTCCTCTCCGCCGGCATCATGTACACCAGATTTGATTCGACGCTATGTAACTCCGCGGCGGTCCCGAGGATAAAATTCGTCAACGTCCTCTCTCGGCTAATTGATCCTCTGGGAAATTTCTTTCCGGAAAAACTAATGGCCGCTGCTACTAGATAAAATCAATAAAATCCGGGAAATTTTTGATACAATCCTAAATGAGAGGCTAAAAAATTAACTGATTTTTAGCAGTGGATGATTAGGATTTGTAAAGGTTTATCCAGTTTAAAAACGAAATTATTTTTGGAAAATTTTGTCTTCTTAAATTTTTTTAACCACTGACAATGAAGTAACAATCGTGTTTGCAAATTCCATTTAATTCTTTAAAAAAACTGTTTCAATTAAAAGAAAAGTAGAAGAAATAGAAATCCATAGAGATTTATGGAAATTTATGTAGAATGCTGATTTAAAAGGTTGCTCAAATTTTTATACTCTCTTGGATCCAGAATATATCGGAAAAAACAAAATCTTAATTTTTATTTTATTTTAGTCTCGTTTAAGCTGCAATCATCGATTTAATTGTTATAAATTTTTATTTTTATGTTAATGCAACATGCTTATATGTGTGGTGAGAAAACTGATCAAAAAATGATCTCAAATTAGATAAAAATTTCACCATCTGCATTAAAAAGAAGGCTTATTAAGTAAAATTAAAGCATCAGTTTAGGCTCCACATTACACTAATGCCTGATTTCACTTGATCAGATGAGCCTTCTTAAACTTTCAAGAACACTAAATTCCGTCAATTGATCTTCATGCAACAATAGAAACGTTTTTTAATTGGATTATTTTTTTGTATAAAACGTTTGATTGATTTTTCTTTTTTAGTTTTGCTCGATAATTATGAAAAAACAGATTTTTCTATTAATCTAATTTTCAAATCTTCAAGCAAAGATGGTATAATATAATAATTCTTATTTAATTTATCTGGCCATTTCACCTTTAAATTTAATTAAATACGCTCTCATTAAATAAAAAAAAATCCCATCACTTCCTGTCTTCAAATTTTATCTCTGACCTTTTTTCACTATATGTTTTCTGTCTCTTTTGCTTCAAATTGACCCTTGAATATCAAATTATGTTAACCTTGACAAATGGTTTTTCCTGCGAGTGCAGCAGGAGCATCGTGAGCAGGGCATGAACTGCTGTTGAGGATGACGGAAACTCGCGAGACTCCTCTGAACATGGACAAAAGCAACTCGATGGCCCTGGAGATGAGCAGCCCCGGCGGCGGCGCGTGTGCCAAGGCCAAGAAAGACGACGACATGCCTGAGCGCGGCTCGTGGGGCAGCAAGCTGGACTTCATCCTGTCCGTGGTCGGACTGGCCATCGGCCTCGGCAACGTGTGGCGCTTCCCCTACCTGTGCTACAAGAACGGCGGCGGCGCCTTCCTCATCCCCTACTTCATCACCCTCATCCTCGCCGGCATCCCCATGTTCTTCATGGAGCTCGCCCTCGGACAGATGCTCACCATCGGCGGGCTCGGCGTCTTCAAGATCGCCCCTCTTTTCAAGGGTCGGTCTAGCAAAAAATTTTCAATCCATTTTCAGATAATTCTCGACGAGACGATTCCATACATGTACAGGAAACAATCTTTTCATCCAAAATTGGTGGAAATTTTCTAATTTAAAAATTGGCCATTTTCTAAAATTACGAAAAGGTTGGTCAAAAAATATCACTCCAAAACATCGTTGGAATCGTCTCAACCTGATATATCGGATTCCCAACATAATTTTAATTTTTTTTTAACTATTTTCTCTCATATCCCTCAGGCATTGGCTATGCGGCAGCTGTAATGTCCTGCTGGATGAACGTTTACTACATCGTCATCCTGGCGTGGGCTATTTTCTACTTCTTCATGTCCTTCCGTGCTGGTAAGTATCATTTTCTGTATTAAAATAAAAATTATCATTTCAGTAATTTTAGAATAAATTTTGAAAAATAAGTTCTTCCAGCAATTTACTTGATTTTGAACAATATTTTTCCTTCAAACAAAATTTTCAGATTTGCCGTGGAGGACGTGCTTCAATTATTGGAACACTGCCAAGTGCGTGAACCCGTACGAGCGTGACCAACTGACCTGCTGGGACCAATTTAACGGCACGTTCACTGACAAAATTTGCAAGGTCGGCGCCCTCAACATATCCATTCATGAAATGTCGGACCCCGTCAAGGAGTTCTGGGAGTGAGTATTTCACATTATAAAAAAATTATTCCAAAATTGTAATTGTTATCAAAATGGAATTTAATAAAATAATTCTATTTTAGGCGACGAGCTCTTCAAATTTCCGAAGGCATTGAGCACGTGGGAACCATCAGGTGGGAATTGGCCGGAACTCTGCTGCTTGTTTGGATCATGTGCTACTTCTGTATCTGGAAGGGCGTCAAATGGACTGGAAAGGTAACTCGAAAACCATAATAAAAAAATTAATTGCTATTTTTACCTTTTTAAACCAAATTAAACAGAAAAATTTTTATATTATTTTAGTGAATTTTTTCCATTTTATTAAGTCTTTAAAAATCGATGATGAAATTTTTGTTTAGGTGGTTTACTTCACTGCCCTTTTCCCATACTTCCTGCTGACGATTCTTCTGATCCGCGGCATCACACTTCCGGGCGCCACCGAGGGCATCAAATTCTACATAATGCCCAACCTGTCCAAGCTGCGCGAGGCCCAGGTGTGGATCGACGCGGTCACCCAAATTTTCTTCTCCTACGGTCTCGGTCTCGGCACTCTGGTCGCCCTCGGCAGCTACAACAAATTCACCAACAACGTTTACAAGTAAAAGTTCAAAAATGAAGTATTGGTTAAAAATTAACTGCGGAATAAAAAATTCCAGCGACGCTTTGATAGTGTGTTGTGTCAACTCAGGGACCAGCATGTTTTCGGGCTTCGTCATCTTCTCGGTCGTCGGTTTCATGGCGCACGAACAGCAGAAACCGGTTGGGGAAGTTGCTGCTTCAGGTAAAATTGTTGTTAATTTTTGAAATTTTTAATAATGTTAAAATGTTCAAAACTGAAAATAATAAAATTTACTTTTAAAATTAGGTGTTCTACAAATTTTGTATTTAATATCCAAAATTTGTATTTAAATTCGCAGGCCCTGGTTTAGCCTTTTTGGCGTATCCATCGGCCGTTCTGCAACTTCCTGGATCTCCACTTTGGGCAGCGTTATTCTTCATTATGATACTATTCATCGGCTTAGACAGCCAGGTATTAAATTTCATATTGCTAAAATTTACTGTTTTTCATTTAAAAAAAGGATAAAATTGAATAAAAAAAATTATAAATTAAAAATATATCACTTTTTATTCCTCCATTTCAGTTCTGTACAATGGAGGGCTTCATCACGGCCATGGTGGACGAGTACCCAAAACTGCTTCGACGCCGTAAGGAGCTTTTCATCGCCATCGTCTGCATTTTGTCCTACTTGGTCGGCCTCACCTGCATCACAAATGTAATTTTAACTTATTATTTTTGTAGCATTGAAATAATTTTCCATTTCAGGGCGGCATGTACGTGTTCCAACTGCTGGATTCGTACGCGGTCAGTGGCTTCTGTTTGCTCTTCCTCATCTTCTTCGAGTGCATTTCGATCTCGTGGGCGTTCGGCGTCAACCGCTTCTACGACGGCATCAAGGACATGATTGGCTACTACCCCTTCTTCTTCTGGAAGTTCTGCTGGGTCTTCACCACCCCTCTCATTTGCTTTGTAAGATTTGTTTATATTGTTCTTAAAAAAAAAAATGCTCAAAATTAAAAAAAATATATCCTGATTTAAATTTTTCATGAATTTCAATTTTAAAACAGGGTGTGTTCATCTTCAACATCGTCCAGTGGACCCCAGTGACGTACCTGGACTACGAGTACCCGTGGTGGAGCCACGCGTTCGGCTGGTTTACGGCGCTGTCCTCGATGCTGTGCATCCCTGGCTATATGATCTGGCTCTGGTGCACCACCCCGGGTGATTTCCAGGCTGTAAGTATTCTCTATAATAATTTCAGATTAGCACGAAAAAATCATGGGTTAGCCCAATAATTTACTTTAAATAATTTTATTTTATTTTTCTAATAACAATAATTTATCTAAAAAATTGCTTAATTAAAATTTTAAATAATATAAGGATGAGTCATGAAACTTCCACACCTTTAAAATTATCAATCATTTCACTTCTCATGCACATTTTTATAAACTTATTGGAAATTCCTATACAAGTGGATTTTCATTTTTCATAATACTGAATATTTTACAGTTTTTTTAATTTTCTTTTCTTTTTTACAATATTTGCAGAAATTCAAAGCGTTGGTGCGAATAGACGAAAGCGTGGAGCAGCTGCGAGCAAAGATGCACGCGGGCAACCCTGAAATCGCCGCCCTGTAAGTCGGCCGGCCGTATAACAAGTCGCTCTCCGAACGCAAATTAATTAACGTGAGAACAATTAAATGAGAGAGAAAGAGAGCAGCGCGCGTGAGGGTTGGATCGAATGAAAGAGGACGCGCGCACCACCGTAAAAATGTAACGTTAAAAAAAAAACTCGGATCGATTGTCTTCCATTACTGCCAAATCTTGTATTAAATACACACACACTGCATTATATTTACACACACTTCTATAGAAAAGAGAACAAATTCAATCAATGGGAGAGGAACCAATTTTAAGAAGGAATTTGGACGCAATTTACTAAAAAAAAAAATAGATTTATACACCTGTCTAACGCACACACATGTCATCTCAATTCTCTCTATATTGCGAGCTGAAACAAACAAGCATATTGTTGAATGTCTTCCATTTTTTATCTCAGTGCATCGGAAACCGTGCTATACTTTTTTATTTTTTGAGTGTAATTTGCAAGTCACTTAAACTTTTAAAGGATATTCTCGTTCGTGACGTAGCTCACGAATATACTTACGGTTAAAATTAAACACACACAATATATAATTATATACCGCATATATTCCAGTATATCGATTGGGCAAAATGTATATTTAATTGTTAAGCGCATAGAGCACAAAGCATTTGAGGTTACGGGACGAATAATTATAATTAAGTATAATTAAATAGATCAAGTTCTTATTGATTTTAGGGAACTACTTTTTTTAAGATTTATTAGTTAATTTAATTCCAGACACGGCCGTTGGGAGTGATGGCTCATTAACTGCTAATTTTGTTAGTTGTAATTTTTTTTAAATCGAATTTCCTTTTTTCCTTTTCCTTCTTTTGTAACTTAAAATCGTTAATAATAGCCATGATATTAAATAACTATAAAAAAAACATGACAAACGGAGCTAATCAATCAATATCGATCGTGGAATTAAGTGTTAAATCGCGTAAGTAACCGCAAATTATGAAATGTACCAAGAGTTATAGAGGAGTATATTGAGTGTTCCAAATATAATTATTATCAAGCGTATAGAAAATGACACGTGTTGTAGTTAACCATAAAAAGGTTTCATGAAAAAACTCAAAGACGTTGATGAATTTTTTTGTATGTTTTATGTTAATAACAGAAATGCACTAGTCTACAGTACAATCGTTTCAACTTTTTGTCAACTTCAAACGAAAAAGTGAACGTCATTTTTTCAATTACTTCTCTTCGTTTCGAGTGATTTTTCTTATTCTAATTCTGAATTTAATTAATCTTAATTCATGTATATCACATCAGAGGACATTTTTTGTTTTGTTTAGTTTTCGCCTCTCTTACGCATCGACAAACTTTGTACCCACAACTAGCAAATAAAACTACTGTTTCTCTGGATCGAAATCTGGCGAAGGTTTTTACTTCCTCATTGAAAAATAAACACTGCAAGTTTTTAAATCCATTTTATTTCAAAAGACAGAAAAAAACGCCTGCAGCAATTAGCGGTAGGCAACCTGTCGGATACGTTTACAGGACAGGTTGCATACCTCACACCTGCAGCTACTATCTCTACCTGAAATTTGATATGTATAATTGTGGATCACACCACGCTGATCATGTACATCTCCTCTTTGGGAGGGAACGAGTTTCCGGCAGCGTCTCTATTTTTTACTTGGTGCTCCAGAAGACTAAAAAAAGAACACAAAAAAACTTTTTATATATAAAGGGCTTTTCCAACGGTTTATATGTGTTAACAAAATTTCTGAATTAGAAGATCTGGGAAGTTTTCTTTTGAAAAAATTTGTAAAAAAATTTACACCTTAAAAAAATAAAATCATTTGAAAGATAAAAAAAATTAAATTTTTCAGCAAATATTTATGGATTTTTTTAAATTTACAAGTTTATAATGTGGAACAACTTATTTATTTGAGATCGATTTTTACCCAAAATTACTAAAAGAATTTTTTGCTCATAAATTCTGTTTAATTGGAATTTTTTGTTAATTAATTTTGTATGAAAATCCGAAAATATTTCAAACAAGCACTTTTTCAATTTTTATCGCTCTTATTTTTACCTCGTCAAAGGTGATTCGGTATTTGTTGAAATGTGAGCCACCTTCACCATTCTGAAACAATTTGACATTAAAATTAAATTATTAAATTTATTACTTTTTCTCACTTTTTGGGTGGCATGCATGTGCAGAAATCGCCACATCCCCAGTGTTTGCCAAACTCCTCGCCGTCCTCGAGCGTGTTTGGCAAACTCTGGTGCAGCGTTTCGGGCAGCATCAGGCTGAAAATGCCTCCGAGCACCAAGAGAGCGCCCATCACCATCAAAGGCAGCACCAGCATGCCCGCACCCTAATTAAAACTGCATGAGTACAAATGTAAATTTCGGGGTGAAAAAAAAGTACCAGATAATTGACCAAAGGGATCAAAGTGGGGCCCAACATGCCCACCACCGAGCTGAAACTCATTCCGAGGCCGCGGACCACCGTGGGGTACAACTCGGAGGCCATCAGAGGCAGCACCACGTAGCTGGACGAAATGCCCATTTTGCCGACGCAGTAGAGAGAAAGAGTTACCAAATCATCTGAAAGGATTTAAAATTTAGAAATTTCTAGTCAATATTATATGCAATATTAAAATTGTAGATTTTGAAAGAAAAAAAAATTATTTATTTGTTAAATTTGGATAGGTGTTGTCGAGAGGATTTCAGCGATAATCGGAAAGAATACTTTTGAACTGTAATTTAATAAATTTTCAGACAATTTCTATAATTTTAAGCTAATTGTAAATAATGGGTCCGAACTTTGATTTGAAAATCAGTTATTAGCTGAAGTAAAAAATAATCTATTATAAATCGTTGGATTAGAATTGTCTAGGCAATGAAAATCAATTTTAAAATTTTGAATTTAAAATGCTTTAATAGCTTGGACATTAATTTGAGGCTCCAAAATATCTAAAATACGGTAGATGAACAAAAAAGTTGCATTACTTCTAAAACGATGGATATCCTAAATTTTACTCTTTTGAAGTTTATTTTCAGAATATTTATTATAATAACCGTTTTGGACCAAAAAGGTGGCAAGACAGGCGGATCCTCCGATGACCATGCTGAGGCAAAGGGTCCACCTGCGACCCCAGCAGTCCATGGCCGGCCACAGGAAGATGTAGGTGGGCAGTTCAACGACCCCAGCGAGGAAAAAGTTCAAAAACTCGTCGCCGCCGAGCACTGGCGCGTAGTAAGACAAACCCACGTAAACGGACGTGTTGGTGAACCAAATGAACGTGATGATCAGGGTCTTCCTTCGCAGGTTTGGAGTCTTCAGCAGATCCCACAAGCCATAGGAACGCTCCTCCGAATTCTGGCGTTTTTGCTGCAGGTGCAGCTCAACCTGTTGTCTTCGCTAAAGGTTCATGAATTAAAATATTTAATTTGTAAATAAAAAAAAAATTATTGGATGATACACTAATTTTAATTGTAAAAAGCAAGTTAGCTATTTGAGGGTAGTCAATAATCAATAATTAAATTTAGTATAAAAACATGAAGTAAATTATGAAGTTCAATAAATGCAAAAATTAAATTCTAGATAATAATGAAACAATGTTAACTAATTTACTAAAAAATCTAAAAGTATAAGTGAAAAATTTACCCTGAGACGAACAAAGTAGTCGGCTGGCAGGACCTTGCCGTTGACCCGGGCCATTGTTTTCAGAATTTCATCTGCTTCTTCAAATCTGCCTCTTGCAAGAAGCCACCTCGGCGATTCAGGCAAAACCCTTTTTTGTAAATTGAATTAAATTTTAAATTAGTAAAGCAAATCATCTGACTTATAAATAGTGTAAAATTTTTAACGAATTACCAGAATAACCAATTTCATCAAAAATAGGCAACCTCGAAAGGATTATTTTAAAATATTTAATTAAAAACGTTTGGTTGCTAATAAATTATGATTATTTTTATGTTATAATTTTCAATCCAATAAGGGCAATAAGCTAATCTTAAATGTGTGCTTCATATTATTATATAATATTAATTTTCTTTCGAAATTTTGAGACGTACCACCAATAGAAAAAGAATGAGAGGAAAGGGAGGGACGTGGCCAGTGCCAACTGCCTCCAGTCCCTGACCAAGTAGACAATTCCGGACAGCAAGACCAGTCCAATGGAGTACGCGATGTTGGTCATGATGGTGCACAGCGTCCGCTTTTCTGGCCCCACAAGTTCAATTGCTATGAAAAATTATTTTTATTTTACATATTATCTTTTTTTTTTAAATTTTGACGGACATAAGACATAGGGGGTGCCAAGGATGGCAGGTACGGTGAAGCCGACTCCGACCCTGAGCACCAGCCAGGTCGTGAAGTCTTGAGCAAACGCGGTGGCGATGCCAAAGGCGCACTGTATCAGCAGGTAGATGAAGAAAGACGGTCGCCGACCCAAACTTTAAATTAAAAGGTTGATTTACTTGATTTCTGCAGAAAGAAATTTTTATATAATTAAATCACCTGTCCTGCAGGTAGCCAAAAACGTAATTTCCTACAAGTCCACCCACACCGAGCAAAACCAGGGCCAAAGTGGTATAAAAGGTTTTGTCACAAACTATGTCCCACTGAAATATGAAAAAAAAAAGTTAAAGTTTTCAGGAATTTCATCTTAATTCAAGGTTAAACCTTAAAAAAATTCGGAAAATTAATTTAAATAAATGACAATTTTCTTGTTTAAATTTTTTTCTGATTAAATTCATGTCATTTGTTTGAAATTTTTTTCAATTTAGGCACGATCTTTTAAAATATGACAAAAACAGCATAATATAGTGCCCCTATTAGAATAATTCGGCACAGGACACCAAATTGTAATCAGGATGTTCCCAATCAAGCAAATCGGCAACCCCTGCAAAGCAAAGTGGTCAGCGGTCTCTAAGTTTTTACTATGTCTCTTTCAAGCTCTTTTCCGGCATTTTTGTTAATACTTTATTATGCCAAATGCATGATTCTGATTTTTTTACATTACTTTTTTTGTGATGCAAAGCTTACCATATGGATGGAGAATAAATAAATAAATATATTATCTGATCGGTTTCAAATTTATTTTACCATCATTTATAAAATTTTCACCGTCCCATCAAATTTTATAAAAAATTTCCAAAAATCATTTAAATTTTATCGTCTTTGAGAAGTTTGGGCACCAGTTAGCGCTTATTACTGTTAAAACAGTATTTCCATTATAGATATAGATAGGCATTTTACACTATAAATGCTTTAAAAATAAAATATGTTTTGATAATATGATCAGCCAAATAATAATTGAAAATTACTCTGATCTGGATGTTTCAGAGACATCAGAAGAGAAAATTGAAATAATTTTCGAGAAAAAATTCATTGCATTATTTTTGTGGTGGCGTAATGAGTTAATTTTTAAATAAAATTAAATCGTTTTTTCTGAATCTGAATCTCTTTCACGCAAAAAAGGTGATCACATACAAATAAAGCTTTTCGATTTCTTTTATTTTTTATGTGAACGCTATAAATTATTAAAATGTGTATTCGATCGGGCCTGTCTCGTCGCCAAAACTAACGCCTGACTGGGTGCGGATGTGCGGATTGGGGTTCCGTAAAGGGGTGCCGCCGAATTGGGATTCGCGACCGCAGCGCAGACATGCCGACCGTAGTCCTGGCAACAGACAGACACGCGTACCACGTGATGCGGCAAAATTCGCTCCACGCGCGCCACCCCTATTGCATGCATAGTAATTTGCTGCGATGCACCGAGTAATTGGACATTTATTGAGACTAACTGCGCGAGAATAAGAAGAAAATGTTCTTGCAAATTGTTCTTCTCAAATAAATTTCAAGCAAATAAGAAAATAAGAAAGAAATCATAAATTAAATTCTATTGGCATTTTAAATTTATATAATATTTACCTTTAATTTTTATTTAAAAAATTGTTAAAGCAATGGTGTTTAGAAACGTTCAAAATAATTTATTATTTATTTCTCCATCTTATTGGAGTCAAAATATTTTTATCTTAAATTTGAATTTAATTATTTAATAAGAAAGCAATATCGATTGAAAAACCTCAGTGACGACGGTGTTGATGTACTCGGAAAAGTCGTAGTCCCATCCGTAAGAGCAGGAAACGGTTGAGTTCTCTTTAAAATTCTCCCGCAGGTCGTCGTAGTTGCGGTCGTACATCAGACACTTGCTGTGCGAACCATCCTCCTCCAACGGAATACTAATTTTGTGTCCTTCATGAAAATTTTTACCTGTGTGACTACTTTCGAAGGGCAAACCTGAGGTTCCGCGCCTCCTGTAAAGTGAGGTTTTGACCTTCGAGTTGCGGCACGCGACACCAGTGCTCCGGACTGGCGGTCATGAAGATCTGGTTGTACGCGTGGAAACCGCACGGCAGGACGCCTGGCAGAAGCACCAGGTACAAAACCATCTGCTGGTACGTCCCGAATTCGCCGACGTCCGGCAAAATCGTGTCCAGATCCATCCTCGCAAACTTTTGAATAAAAAGAAAGAAAAAATGGAAAAACATTAAAATTTTAGATTGGTCCCTTTGAGAGGTTTTCAACAATATTATGGTGGATGGGCAAATATTTCAAAATATAGCGTAATGAAATTAATTTTGAAAAAAGAAATCAGTGGAATATCGTCATGAAAGAGAAAACCTGATTTTTTTTTTTTTTTTTTAGAAAAGTGTTCAAAAATCCATTAAAAAAAGATTGGACGTAGGCTTTATTTAAAAAATTAAAAAAAAATCTAAATTCCGACAAAACAAGGTCTTGAAAATTTTTAAAGTCATGCTAACTACATTCAAAGGAGTTTATAACGTTATTTTAAGAGAGGGTTCTTCACAAATTTGAACTGCTTATAAGATTCATCTCATCCCCCATTTAAAACAATATTATGAGTTAATTTTAAACCTGCTGGTAGTATCAAAACTACGAGTATAATTACAATGTGCAGTGCATTTAGGCAACAAAAAAATAGACAAAATAAAAAGTCAGAAATAAAGATTTAAAATATAATAAATTTTTCAATTGTTTGACGAAATTCTAAATATTAAAAAAAAAAAATCAAATGATTGTGAAATTTTTAAATACCAGAAGAGCTGCGTTTGTGTCAGAAGGTGCGGACGGTCACTTCCATGGTGCGGAGGGCCAGCTCGGAACAAAGCAGCAGAACATCGCGATCACCGGCGCGAAATGCCGAGCGGACTGCAGTCGACCCTCGCGCGCTCAGTGGGGGCGCAGCGCCAATTGAGCACCACCCTCTTTGGAAACTTCAATCTCAATTGACAACAATTGATGAGTGGGTGCTCCTCACTTTGATTTGGACTATTAACGCTAAATTGGACCCTAATCGCCGATGGTCGATGCAACGAGAAAAACAAAACAAATGTATCGATTTGCGATTTTGCACTTTATTTAAAATAAGACATTTACATAAAATATTGATTGATCTTTACACATATCACGCCTTTTAAACCAAAAACGCTCACATTCATAATATATATATATTGAATTCTCAGAATCTCTTTATTTTTATTATTCCAACTAAAAACATGTGTATCCATTTTTGTTCTTTATCGCTATACCGAAATTTCAGAAATAAAATTTTAAATAACCTCGCAAGTTTTGGCGGGCTGCTGACGTTGGCGCGCGAGTAATAGTTCAAGCCAAATTCAACAAAAAGCAACAACAAATTCGACTTGATTTGTGAAAACGGTCTTCTCGTACTTCCACCAGCTCATCTCCACGATAACATTTTTCAAATTTCAGCAAAACAGAAATTTCAAAAAGATACGCAATTCAATTCGGTTGATCACATTTTTCACTTAGGAGGTCATCGCTTGGACGACACAATGGAAATAGTGAAACAAACATACATAATAATTCTGCTTGTAGGGGGGCTCGTCAGGGACAATTATTTATTTAGTGCCCAGTCAATCAATCAATTTTATTGCTGTTCGATTGAGCGCTGCTGGGCGGCGTGATTTCGAAGAGATTAATCCCAACGAGAGGCTTTTTGAATTTGTTTCCAACAGTAAAACAGCAACTGGGTGATGTGGAGGAGATTCGCCCGACTTTTACAAAGTTTTGTGTGTATTGCTTTTTGCAAATTTTTTCATAAGTACGCAGTAAAATTGGATTGATTTTTCTTCTTCTTCATTCACCGTTTTAAAGCATTTTGGTTTTGTTAGAGTGCCTAAGAATTAACAATATTATAATAAATTAAGTCTTTTATCACACTTTCTTCGATATTTTTCTCTTTTTTTTTTGTGCTGTCTTTCATTATCCTCTCGCAGTAAAGTCACTCAAATGAAAACTCAAATCATTGAGCACTTTTCAATCATATCAGTTTGATTTTTTTTTCTGAACTATTTTCCAATCGAATCGATCAACTAGCGCTCGTTAGCTTCAAGTTTTTAGTGTTTTTATCAAAATTATTTCAATACTTATATACTTTTGAAACTGGAATGTAGCAGATTAGGTGTTAAAAGTAGTGGGTTCAAGTGACTTTGAAATGTCATTTCTTTTGTTTCTCGATGCTGTACGGCATTAGAAGAAAGATCTCTTAGAGCTTCACCCTGGAATTTGAGGAAATGATGCCGTCCACGAGTCGGACTACAATGAAAATTCTCCTACCTGGACGGCAGTTTAGCCTTAAGAAAATGCATTGGCCGCCTGGACGATTTCATCAAAACTCTGCTCTAGACAGTGCTTCAGCTCAGCGTACGTTACAACTAACACAGACTGCTCGTCTCTCGACATCAGACAGATCTATAAATGAATAGATTTTTTAATAAATACTTTACAAAATAAATGGCACAAAAATTTCTTAGCAACATTGAACATGTGGAATGTTTAATTTTTCCTCCACAATTTTTAATTCTTTCAAGTCAAAAAAAATGTTAAATTTCATATCAAGACATTTTAATCAAAATCAATGCTTTTAAATCTATTAAAAAATTCACTCAATTTTATTCTTATTTATCAAAAATTATTGAAATTAATTCATGCCGATCAATCCAACCAACCTGCTCATCAGTTCCTGCGTCCAACTTGTTGAGGCAAGACACAATGTGCGCCATGTCGATCCACGGCTTGCCGTCTTCACTCACTTGGTGGAACACATAGTCACGGAAAAGTTTCAACATGTACCTGTCACCGTTCTCACTCCAAGTTTGATCCATATTCAGCCTGAGTCAATTAAAATTTAGTTATTTTAAATCAGATCAATTTGTTGGAATTACTCTGGTCTCTCGTTAATGATCCCCAACTTTGTCAGCAGGCGGACAAGGCGGCCATTCTCAATCTCTTTGGAAACCTCGTTTTCCAACAGGTCACAACGCTGCTGAGTGGCATCTAATTGCGTGTAAAACCGAGCTCCAATCATAGGCATCAGGTCACTGACGGAGCGTCTGGTTGAGTTTGACAAAAGGTACCTGCAGAGACCAACAAAATAAAAACCGGGTCAAATGTAACAAAGTTGAAATATTTTCAGAAATAGGTTGGATTGAATTAAATTACACAATGAGATTCCTGAGGTCGCTCGAATAGCTGCGGGAGACAAGTTCGAGCGAGGTTTGAATGTTTTCCCTCTTGACCGCCAACATGGACTTGCAGGCGAGCGCCAACACAAGCCGGCCGAGCGCCAACAGGTCTTCCTGCTGGTGGACGGTGGCCATCGAGACGTTGGCGGTGGCGTCAAACATGACGACGTCGGCAATGCCGCAAAAGCTGAGCCGCAGTCGAGGCACATTGCCGTCTGTAAGGATCACCTTACTGGGGTGCAGGCAGCGGTAGGCGAGGCCTGCGTTGTGGATTGTTCGCAGGGCGGACGTCAGCTGGATCACGTAGCTCCAGATCAACGGCTCGGGCAACAAACCTGGACAAGGTGAAAAGTTGTCTAAATTTTTGAAAAATCAAATACTAGAATTTAAAAAATTGACTCTAATCTTGAAAGAAATAAAATTTAAGCCCTATGATGCATGATCAATGATAAACTTTTAAATTGTACATTCATTGTATGCAAAGTGGGTCTAATTATAAAAAATTTGAAATTGCCTAATTTTTTTAAACCAATCTTCAAGCGAACTAATATCATAAGAAAAATTATCTCTCTTCCCCTTATATTTTCAATATATTTGCGTTTAGTTAATTAAAAGCAAAGAGTACGGCTAAAATGTGTTAGAATTTCCTATTTATAATGAAAAGCTTACTAGCATGTTGCCTGAGCAGGGCATTCTTGGTGTGGCTGTAAGGCCGGGCAACATTGTGATCTCCGTTGAACGGGTCAGGGAAGCCATTTGCTTGGTCGCTGGCCGAAAAGTGCTTCGACATGAGCGTCTCCGCGCCAGGATGATAGTCATACACAAAGACAATGGCTGCACCGGCAAATATTTGTAAAAAATTCGTTCAAAAAAAATCACCATTCAAAATTACAATTGTCGTTGAAGGCCTTGGTGGTGAAGACTTCCTTTATCTGCACAATATTCGAGTGCTGGATCCTTTTCCATGAGTCCATGTTGGCCATGCACTTGAGATTGGCCAGTCGGAAGCCTGTTTCAATTAAAATTTGAATGAAAATAAAATAAATTTTCTCTGAAAAGAATAGCAAACCGTGAACTCTCCGCAAGCAGAAGCGAGCGCCGCTTTTCGTGTGGGTTGCCTTCAGAGTCGAGGTCTGGTAGGATATCACTTGTGATGTCTTCTGATTGGCCCCTGCCACTGGCTCCAGAGAACACAGCTCGTGGTAGTTATCAATCTCAGCAGGCAAGTCTGAGAGTGAAAATCATTTAAAAATACATTCAGTCAAAATAACTGATAATTATTGACATTTTCAAAACATGTTATTGATAAAGATTAAACGAAAATGAATTTATATTGACGTTTGTTGTAAATATTTTCAGATTGCATAATACAACTGTGATAACAAGTTTTTTTTTAAAGATACTAGATCTTAAAAACCTTCAAATAGATATTTTCTATATAAAATTTAAAATTTTAAAATAATTTTAAGTAAAAACGGATCAGAGAGTAAACGTATGTCAACAATTGTATTTAAACAATTACATTTTGATTTTTTTTCAATTGCATTAACTAAATGCATTTTAAATTGATCAAAATAGGTCTAAAATTTCAGAACCACATTTTTATTATTTTTTTTTTTTCATTACCAGGGTACGCAGGGCCGTTCGGCTGGGCAAGAACGAGTGCATTGCGGTTAAGGAGCTCAAGACGGAACTCTTCCAACAGGTAGTAGCTGCCCAAAGAGTTGGTCAGGTGAGTTGTGTGGCTGGTCGAGCTCATCGACGGCTGCTGCGTCGGCTGGGTGGCCCTGTTGGGCGAAGAGGCGCTCGGGGCCTTGGTCAGGTGGCTTGGGGTGCCAGGGTAGGCGTGGAAGTTGGGCATCACCATCGGGGATGAGTCAGCCCGCGTTGGGGTGCTGGACCCAGTACCACTGGTTGGGTAAAAGTAGGTCGTGCCACCAACATTCTCCTAGTGGCAAAGTACAAACGGGACTTAAATTACGTTTGAATTTATTTCTACTACAAAAAATCAACTAAGATTTCAATTCAATTCAAACTTGTAAAAAAAAAATATTTTAAATAACAATTTAAATTAAATTGCATAAATTTCAGGAGGGAACCAATTTTGGATATTAAAATACAAACCGTATCTAAATCTGAGCACTTGTACAATTAAAAAGATTATTTTGATTTCCTTCTATTTTTTTTCTTTCAAAAAACCCATTCCTGTTAAAATTCAAAATTCTTTCCGCATCTGAACTAATTTTTTCCAAAAGCTGTCAGATTTTTACAGTCGAGAAAGTGAGCTTTATTTTCACCTGGTAAGTGGAAGTCATTGACATGTTTTGGGCGTCACCCAGGGCGTCCAAGGGCGGCGTTTCCCTGTGCCTGGCCAGTCTCTGGGAAGTGGAGTTCAGCATTGAGGCGGACGGCTCTCCTGCGTACTCGGGGTTGTAGCTTTTGGCTGCCGGAGACTCGGCATTGGCAGTGATGCCCGAGTAAGTGAAATTCCCTGCGCTTGCCGAGTTTGGCACAAACTCGTTGCCTAATACCTGCGGAAACAAAGAAAAATGGTTAATTTTATTTACTTCTCATAAATTCAGAAAATTTCCTTCGTGAAAATTTGCTAATCCAGCATTTTCCCGCCAAATTTGAATATATTTACTGGAAATGTCACAAGAGATTCTCAGCGCGACTGGACTTTCTTTAAGTTGAAAACATCAGATGCATAACTTTCTACCAATAGGCAGCAAAATAAGTAGAACACTCCATAAAAAAATAGCAACTATTAAATATTTCATGTATGGTTTCACTTTTAGTATAGAAAAATATATGCAGTTGAAATATTTTCCAAGCTAATGATTTCAAAATTGAGATTTTAAAATAATTTAAAAATTTTTGTAAAAAAAATCAATTTTTTTACCTTCTTCATGGAGAGATTGTCCAGACTTAGAGATGCTATGCCTTTATTAAGTACTTGGCTGGTCGAAGCAGTTCCCTGCAATTTTTAAAATGCAAGTAAAATTCAAGTGACATTTAAATAGGCCAAAGTTCCTCACCATGTAAGTGGCCAACTTTGACTCCTGAGGAACGCCTCCGTTTGGCCTGTTGAACATCAGTCCGTAAACGTCCATTTTCTCACTTCCTGCTGCAAATTTCCAAAAATTAAATGCAAATTACGACATGGATTGAAAGTGCAACAGTGCTATTGTGAGACCCTCTAGGATTAAAGTGACAGCCTAGCAACAGGGTGCATAGAGCCGTGGGAAAATGAGGGTTTTCGGGCCGTCCGAGGGCCCGCCCGAGCGAGATCGGGGCCTTGGAGCGGCCGAGGGCAGAGGTCGGGAGGGTCGAGGGCGGCGACGAGGGTCTCATTCGGCGTCGACAAGATGATATACGCACCAGCAGCTGTCGGGTCCATGACGGAACACTGACACGGGACAATGGCACAGCGAGTGTCTCAGCCTGGCTCACCGTCTCTTGGACGCCGGGACGCCGACTCGCACGCGCGGCTGCATCTTCTGCAAAACAAGTCCGAGTTGCGGCCAGTCGACCCCGGGCTCTATTTACATCTCTCACCTTTCGGCAACGATCCACCAACCGCTTGATGCACTCTCGTATTTTTTTCGATTTGCGAGCCTCCTCAGCAAAACTACTACGTCCGCCAAAGGACGACGCTCATTGGTCGAGACACCGAGCGATGCTAGCGCCACTCACTGAATGGCGGGAAATCGAATTCTGATTTGCTGAGGCAAATTATTATTATTTTAATTTTCATAAAGAAATTTCGAGTTTTAATTTTATAATAGACAGAAAATGTTAAATGTTAGGATTCAAATTTAAATTTGGGTGAATGGCAATTAGTACCACTCAAAGAGTAATTTCATTAAATACTAATACTTAATACTCATGAATTCGTTGACCAAAAATATAGCGGATTCACCAAAAAATTTACTCTTTTGGGACACATCAAAACATGATTGGATTTAGAAAAAAAGTTAGACTAGAAAAAAATCACGGTTTGTTAAAAAATTGCAAATGCTGAGCTTCTAACTATATGAACTTAAAAAGTGAGTTAAATGCAGTAAAAGAAACTATTTATTATTCAGACCATTAAGACCTTCAAACCATCAATGGAAGCTTTTATTTTTCCACTGGTAAAAAAAACATTGCATGACACGAAAATACAAGGCAGTAGTAGATTAGGCAAGCAGAACCAGAATGATGGATCATTTGGGTTTTAAATTACGGGGTCTCTCAGCCTCGAAGGCAACTGAATTTAAGGCCTTCCACTCGAGAGAGACTGGACGACAGCACATAAGCACGAAGATCATCACTATTGACTACAATGCGCATATATTCCAGTCTTGGTGCATGAAGAGCAAGGAGACAGAGGAACTTTAAAACATTGGAGGGAGTGTCCGTCATCAATCCAAATGACAAAATAATTGTCTTCAGTTTCTGCAATAAAGGTCCCTCGACAAGGCACTGGATCAAATGGGACAAGCTAGAAAGTGAATTGCAAAACATGTGAATGCTCACTATATTTTTAGATTTTAGTACAAGCTGCATCAACTCTGATTCACTGGAAATGTGAAATCCAGAAAAGTTAACATATGTAAACTCTTCCATGTTCTGGAAGTGGTCGACTGATTGTGAGCGATAAGGAGAATTTTCAAAGGACACAATGCCGCCAATATGAAGACGACGCAACTTCGGACACTTCACAATTATCTTGTAAGGGTCCACAGTGCGATTATCAAAGCGCACAACATGAAGATCTTCAAGCCTGTCTCCACATTGGGAAAGCACCTCATGAAATTGTAAACTGCCAAAACCATCTAAGCTCAACGAGGTCAGTTTTGAGATGACACTGAAAAGTTGCTGCGGTGCAACAGGAGATGGATTGTTAATTGCTAGTTCTTCAAGGTACGGCACCAATTCATAATCAAAATCACTAAAAACTTTCATTTCCCGAAGTGAGAGTTTTCTGTTGCCTGGGATTTGATGGTTGTTGTGGTATTCATTACCTCCAAAAAGGTACTGCAGATTTGGCAGGTGACTAAGGCACTCAGCTTTGAAATGGTTGTACCAATAGTTGTCCTGCAGAACAGAAAAAGATTAGTGGTGATAATAAGTGTTGTGAAGATACAAAATTACGAAAAAAAAAAACTGTACTGCACAGAAAATCCCCTCCCCACCGTATGTGCAAAATGTTTGTGCGGCAGCACCAAATAATTAATTAAATATAAAACTTTTACTGCCGTAGGTTATATTTATAGCCCATTTCAAGCGTGGACCTCTCTTGAGCTCCCCCCCCCCCCCCCTCTTAATTTGAGAGAATTTGTGTTTTGCTATCTTTTCACATTTTGTCTGTGTCATCTTCATCGAACCAATTTAGTTCGTACTTTCAACTTATATCAGTCATTTTCACATTATTTTTTCCTCAAATTTTCTATGCAACCACTTGATTTATGATTAAGATTGAATAATTTAAACAATAACATCAATAACACAAACCTCATTATCAGTCTGAGAAAATGGTAGTTGGATTTCAAGCCTTTCTAGTCTTTGTAGGGCGAACAAATTTGTCATGAGGTCAATGTTGACACCCTCAAATGTAACGGACAGTGTGCGTAGGTTTGGAAAGTGCTTCGAGATCTGGATCAGGTCGTCTGAGGTGCACAGATAGCTACTGTAACATATGTGCTCCAGCTTTGGGAACCTTTTCAGGTATGGCAGCACACTCTCCATAAGACCCGACAAGCAACGAGTGTCCGATATCTTCTCCAAATTTGGACACCTATCGATGAGCATCTCCCACACTTGCTGGTCAAGGTTGTGGAAGGTTCTAAAGATGACAAAGTTGAACTCCTTTGTGAATTCATTCAGAAGCACTTTTCCAGCTAAATCAAACATCCAGTTAGCCATTCCCAGTGTCTGCACAACGCCATCAATTTCTCCTAAATCAAAGTGCTCTTCTGCGTACTTTTGAATTTCTTTTTGCAGTGAGAGGGCTGAAATCACAAATTGTTTTGATGGAATTATCCTATTTGACCTGTATTTTTATTAAAAAAAAAATTACTTACGAATGGCAAAAGGTGTGAGGCAGGAGGGCTTTTGGAATGCACATTTCTCACTGGCAGTCACTAATTTCTCCATTGCAAGTTGTCGCAAAGGTCTAAGTCTCCTTGCTGCAGACCTTTTGGCCCTGGCCATCTGCACAATTTTCTCCAATAACTCACTGAAAGGTTTGATTTAAATATTTAGAAAATTCAATATAAAACCATATTATTGAACATGTCTAAACCTGACCAAGTGCAATTATATAATTTATTATATTATTTTTAGAAAATATTCTATAACCTAATTTTTCCTTTCGAAAATAAATTTTAATGAAATTCCTGAATAAAAGCAAAACAAGACAACAGAAGTAATACATAATCCTGAAATAATTATGTAGTATCCCAGTTGCTAAAACCGACTTTTATACGGATATTATCCTCTCCAGAGTGGATAATACTTGATTCTAATATAATTGGTAATTCATGTCACACCTTTCCGCAGACTCTGCCATATTTTCCTTTGAAAGTGTCTCTGCTCTCTTCTGGTCTCAAAGTCTCAGGCACTGTCCATGCTCTGCTCAAATTCGAACGATCTTTATGGCACCTGTGAATAATTCTGACATTAAACTACATGCTCAAAATTTCGTCATTTATGATTCATTGCTAATGAATGCAATTCTCGTCGACCCCACACAAACAATCAATCCAAATTATGTAAAGCACCCTCTTGTCGGACCCAAGACGGAGGAGACCTGTGGTTTTGGCCAGCCAAGTCTCGTGTCTGACATCCGACAATGGGTTTATTTTTCACAATACAAAACGAATACATAAATATTATTACAAATAATACGAACTGCGCGCATAATGCATAATTTCACTTATTTCTGAACACAAAGAGAAGAGATAAGCATAAAGCAACCAAGTATAAATTTAATGGGAATTTAAGGAATATTGTTGCAGCTATGGGCCATGTGACAAAAAACAAATATGTACATAGTACACGAAGAAGAGGAGGACCATCAGGACCTGAAACCTGAAGGACACCTCCCTTGACCTTGTAAATGCAAAAAGACACGCCAAAGTCTCCTCCCAGCAAGCTGCCAATTCTACATCTACAGCGGCAACCGGCAACCCAGAGTCACAGTAACGTCATCCGATTAACCCAATTAAATCTTTTAAACAACGGCTTATGAATATACCGTTCTGTTCTAAGATCACGAACGAACAAAATCCAAAAATATTTCCCCGAAAATCCTCTCCAGTCCGCGGAAAATCGCGAAATAATGTGAGTTCTTGCAACACGTACCTGCCTTGCACCGAAAGAGCAGCGAGGCGAGTGTTTTTATTTTTGATTGGCTATTTGGATGTGCGCGTAGGCGGATGTCATTTTTTTCACTTTGCGCGCGAAAGAAAGTTGAGTCAGCAATAAGCCAAGAGTAAGCTAGTATTTTTACCATTTTTACTACATACGCTTTGCATGATCTAGCTGTCTTCCTAAATTTTTAATTTAAAATTTAGTTTAAAAAATAAGACCTGGCTGTATGGTAACCACTAAAGCCAAAAACAACAACAACAAGCAGTTTTTTTCCCTATTTTTAATTATTACATCTTGCAGTGTGAGGTCAACGTTTTAGTTAAATTCTGCGCTGTTATAAAAAAATAAAAGGTATTCCCAGGGAATTCCAAATTGATTGCTGCCAAAATATACATAAAATAGCAAAAGTAATGAATAGGAAATATAATTGAAAATCGAAAAAATTTATTATTTGTATCAGTATTCATTTAAAAATTATTGCAATGTAACTCCGATATTTAAATTAGATACCTTCCATAAAATTATCAGAAAAATTAACAAATTTAAAATAAAAACACAATCAAGAAGGTTCCTTTGTAACGTGTAGTGGACAAAGACGATGATTATTTAGTTGAGCAGGTGTCTTTTTTCTTTCAAAACCCATTGAGGAAAAGCAGATATTTTAAATTCAAATCTCAAATCAACCCTCGATCGTGAAATTATAGCACAGAAACATTCAAAATTCTTTATTTTTTACCCTTTTGGCAGCAAATGAATGTGCAAAATTAGACCCGTCATTATAACAAAAGAGCTCCTAATGTGGAGCCGTAAAAAAAAAATACATCTTGCGATTTTCTTAATCCAATGAAATTATGCCATTTATATAGAATTTCATCTCCTTGGAAGGTGTTATTTTTTTCCTGAAGAATCTAATTTAATTCCTAAACATGTTATCAAAAGAAATTGTTACTGTCCATGAACATCTTATAATGCAACTTAAGAAATTGACAGGCATAAAGGAAAAATTATCTAATAATCTATATTATAAAATTTCTAGCTTTATTGAAAAATACTCCACACCATGAACAAATAACATCAAAGGCACTATAAATCAGTTTTGGTTTAAGATGCGTAAAATTCATGTATAAGTCGGAAAATCTTCTGTTGTCATAATCGAGATGTAAAATTGGACGGCATGGATTGTGCACTTAAATCGAGTTTTCAGTTCAAATAATCCATACATTTCTCTACCCTTCTCATTCCTGGACGGATTAATTGTATAAAGCTATTCAAGTAAAAAATAGTTCATTGAAATAAAATTAGCTACCTTTCCTAATGAAGGTAATGAAAAATTTGAATATTTAGGTTTAAATCAGATCTACTTCTTTCAAAATGATAAATCTGAATATGCCCCTCTTTCTAAATTTAAATTTTTGATATAAAACTGGAATATTTTTCTAACAGAAAATAAGTGTTGAACACAAGTAAAAATGATTGCGTAGACATTAAGGGTAGCTGATGTTTTGCTCGTAGGTCTTGTCGCTCCACTGCTCGAGTTCCTGTTCAGAACCTTCTCGGAGGCGGTCGCTGCGTGGAGGCGGAGGAGCCGGCTCGGTCACCCTGGCCCTGCACCAACGCTCTCCGAATTTGAGGACCAAAATGGCCACAATGATGGCGAGCATGGCCACTGCGGCCACAGGTGGCCAAAAAACGTACATTCCCATTTTCTGAAAACAACACAATTTTAAATAAACTTTATTTTGAAATCAAATTATCAGTTTTTACTTAGATGTCACTCTCCCTCTTCTCCCGACTTCCGTACAAGTGGGGTGGGGTTGAGGTGCGAGTTGACTCGGTGAAACTGGCCGAGATGGCAGGGTAGGTGGACGCGGTCGAGTACTGGATGGGGGTAGGGTCGATCTCAGGGTAGTGGATCGGTGGAGGAGGTGGTGCTTTGCCTTCAAGTTCGGAAATGTCGAGGGGCAGCTGGTTGTGAGGGGTGCGTGTCCAGATCGGAATCAACAGCTGATTGCCTATTTTAAAAAATTATAATTCAACACTAATTAGGTTAAATTAAATTCAGACCAGTGTTGATGTCGGACCAGTAGCCGGCGTGTTCAGAGCAGCAGCAGAAAATAAAGTTGAGCAACAGCAGGGCGGCGACCACCACCAGACAGATGCAGATTGTGATGTAAAATGGGGTGAAGTCACCGTATTCGCGCTTCACAAAGAAATCGTTTAAATACGGGTCTTGTGTCGGCAGATTGTAACTCATTATAACATCCTGTAATTAAAATATAGCACGTTAAAAATTTTCAAAATAATTATTTCACTGTTATTATTGTATGGTTTCAATTAAAAATGTTTTATTTGAGGAAAGCAGCGATAATATTTATGTATCTATAGTTTGATATAAAAATCCTTTAAAAAATTCCAGTTAATTTGGGTGTGGTCACCTGGTCTGCAACCATCTCGAACAAAATGCATACAGTTAATTTTATGCGTAATTTTTATCAATTAAAATGATTTATATTTCTGCTTATTCACGAGAGAGAAAAAGATTAAAAGTATATGCTTTAAATTTTCTCAAAGTGAAACAAATACGGATATTTTGGAAATGGTCACATCCAAGCCAAACATAAACAACGCGATAATGGTGCGCTTATAATTTCAAGAATAAGTACAATTGTTTCATAATTGGTAACTTTTTCGCTAAGAAAGACTTGAATGAACATTTATTATCAAGTAATTAACAATCTAGGAACAAAATTAGGGAAATAATCACCTAGGAAACGCGAGCTGAAGCCAAAAACAGCGCCAACCACCTGCAGTTTTGTATTCTTTTTCAGGACGCGCGTACTTCGGTGTGCACAAAGGAGTGCCGTGGAGAAATTCCCAGCCTTGTCGGTCGCGATCAGCCAATGGCGTGCGTCGTTCCGCAAATCAAGGACGGGGATTGGTGCAAATGATTTTCCGTGCATTTAGCAAATAGCAAAGCTGGCAAAGCAAAGTAGCAAAACAAAAATTGTATGTAGCAACTGCATGAAAATTAATTGTCCTTCGTTTTGCGAGCCGGTATTTTTGAGATTTTGCCAAAAACCAGCCGATAGTTTTGAGATCGACTTCATTTTTGCATACGTCCGTCCAAAGCTAAATGTTTTGATTGCTGAGTCGCCGAAATTCTTCAGATTTTGAGCTGAATGACGTGGAAGCAGCAGTTGGACGCCTTTGTTTTGTTTTGATTTGTATGCAAAACTTTCAAGGAATTTAATTTAGCAAGTCCAAAATGTTTGAGATCACTGACTTGCAAAGTAAGTTGTGTTAGTAGGATTTTTTTGTATTTTCCTTTGAAAATTGGTGTTACTAAAAACCCTGATTTTTCAGAAATTGGCGTAGGCCTGGTTGGATTTGGCGCAGCATTTCTGTTCCTAGGAGTTCTCCTTCTCTTCGACAAAGGCCTTTTGGCAATAGGAAATGTAAAGCCCGTAGATTTGATTTGGTAATAAAATTTCTTAAGCAATTTTTCTTTGCGTAGATTTTATTCATCTGCGGCTTGGCCTGCGTCATCGGGCTTGAGAGGACTTTCAGATTTTTCTTCCAGAAGCACAAAGCCAGAGGCACACTGTCCTTTTTCGGAGGGATTGCCGTCGTCCTTCTCGGCTGGCCTCTCATTGGCATGCTAGTCGAAACCTACGGCTTTTTCCTTCTCTTCAGGTTATTTATAAATAATTAATTCCTTTCCATTCATAAGTTTAAACTATTGCAGAGGATTCTTCCCAGCAGCTATCAATTTCATGAGGAGGCTCCCTGTCTTAGGAACGCTCCTGAACATGCCAGGAATCAAATCGGTACGGATTAATTTTAATAGAAAAGAAAAATTCCAAAACAGTCAAAAGTTTCGCTCTCCACATGTGATATTATTTTTCAGTTTCTCCCAGTGGCAGAGGACGAAGCAATTTAAATTAATATCTCAATTTTATAATTCACATGGGTAATGAATTGTCTTTTCTTAATGGTCTGCGGGGATGAAATTTAATTCGTGTATACTTGAAAGTTTGTTTTAATCTGTTTTACTTTTAGGTTGTTGATCGGTTAGCTGGTGACCAAAACAGGTTAAATGTTTGAAGAGCAAAAAATTCAAAAGATGCTGAGTTTTGCCTCTCTCTATCCTGCACTTTTTGAAAGAAAGCAACTACGAACGTCATTAAAATATTATAATTGTACAGCCGTTTCCATGCACTCGTTTTAATGGCCACCGTGTGGCTGGATGTTTCTTGTGGAATAAAATAAATAATTAAGTTATGAAAAATAAAGTAACAAGCTGCCTAAATATCCATAAAAATTGTGTAAAATTATAGATATATTTTGAAGTGGATGAGAGATTATATCTTGTAGTAAATCTAGTATAGTTATTGCTTTAAAACATTTGTTACTGAGAGATTATAAAACAAAAATATTCTCTGATTGATTTTTTTATATTTATACATTTAAAATTACAGTGAAAATGCACTAAATATCTATTTAATCTAAAATCTTAGATCAAATTTTCAATTTTGTACCATAGATGGCACTGCAGGTACTAAATATCACAAATAACATTCAAATATTTCCGAAGTAAGTTAATTTAGTAAATAAAAAACTAAATATATTAATTAAATGACGAAATTCGAGTTCTATATAAATAGAATGCAGATTTGTACATAATTTAACTGAAATATCAACGCTCGCAAAACATTTTTTGCATGTAAAAATGCGCCATGTTTGCCACCTAGCGGCGAATTCAAAAACTCATCCTTAGCGGTGCTCGTGCTGCGGTGTTGATGTAAAAAGAGCAAATCAAAACAAATCACCAGAATCAGCTTCAGGTTTCCACTTTGAGTTTATTAGCGGTCTTTGAGCAGTTCTTAAATCCAACTGAATGCATTATTAATTTATCCGTTTTCGTGAATTGAAAAAGCTCAGTGAAATTGCCAGATCGTTCTCAATTATAATTTGCACCATGGCAGACGACCAAAAATTTGGAGTTGATCTTGAAGATGATTGCAAAGTAATCAATCAATTTTCTTTAAATTTTAACATTGATTTAATGCTCTTTTTAATGAAATTCTAGATGACTGACATGACTGCTTCGTATTCGGAGATTTCCTTCGATTCACAACCGGCGTCGCCCGTTGGGTCGACAATTTTCGACGACCACGGTTTCGCCAGTCGACCTGACACTCTAGAGCTGGGCGACGGTCTGGTCAGGATAGAAGGAACCCTTACTCAGGAGGGAGACATGGTCTCCTTTGTGGCGGAAGACCTGGAAACGAAAATCAAACTTGCCAGTCCGGTCTCGAGAAAAGGTTTTTCGAAGAAAAAAAAATAAACCAACAAAATTTTATGTCAATTTTTACAGAAACTCCGGTGGGTCCAGTTGGCTCATGGAACTCTGGTTCCAACCTGTACAAACAGGCCCTGATGCCGCAGATGCCCAGTGTTGATCCGAGTATTTTAAACGATTTGGAGGCCGAAGCTAAAAGAATTGCCACTTCAGTCGACACACTGACGGAAAACCTGGCTGGAATTTTGCACAGCGTAATTTAAAAAAAAAAAATTGTAAATTCAGTTGTACAATTAAAATTTCTGACAGGTTTCAGCGCTCACAGTGGAATGTCTTGAAACCTACAGAGATGCTGTGTGCAAAACTTGCGACTCTGTGGATTCTAATATCAAGGTTGAATTATTTATTTTTTTTAAGTGTGGAAATTTTAATAACGTTTTGGTACTTTTAGGCTATGTATCAGTTGATGGCCAAAACTGAGGAGTTAAGCAAATCAATGAAACCCATTTATACTTTGGCTGAGCAAATGTGAGTACAGCCAAATTTTTATCAATATTTTAAGTTAAAATGCAAACAGTCTCTGAGTGAGCTACATTGTAGCAAAACTCGTAAGAAAAACAATCTTGTTTTCTGCGAGTTGATTAAGTCTAAAGTGGTTAACTTGGAGGATGTGTATTATGTTATAAAAGATTTTCAAATTCGTCACTTTGAGCAAATTCTTCCACTGGGTGTTGCAGAAAGGAACTGAAAAGACTTTTGGATTTATTAGAAAATGCGGTTAACGTTTAAACGGCAACTTCTTTCTATGTCAACCACATCGCAGATCTCACAACCATAATTTATAATTCCAACAAATTTAAAACAAATTACGTAGAAGTAAAATAGTTATTTATAGTTGATGTAAAGGATAATGTGATAATTAAGAAAAAACAGAAAATAATATTAAAGGAAGATTAAATTAAAATGCAGATTTTTCTGTTGAAAACTATTAAAAAATAACAAGTCAAGATATAATTTATATTCGCAATATACAAAATTATTTGACAAAAAATATAAATTATTTTTAGCGGAAAATGCGAAATTTTAAAATTGGAGTAGAAAAGCGGATGTAAAAACTTTTTGAATTAGGACAAAAATAATGGCTGGGATAACTTTGAGGGCAAATAAATCGTGTCGGACCAATTTTTGCGCAGTGAAAAGTTTCTCGGTCTGACGAGCGAACGAGCGCGTTTTGATATCGCACATCAAAAGCTTTTGGCCTGAAAATCGCGACGCATTCAACCGGAAGCGCGGTGAAAAATGGAACGCGCCTCCAGTGCGGGCTGCTGCTGAGAGTGCGGAAAAGCAGCCATGGCGTCGATTGCGTTGCGACTCGCCTGCCTCCACTTGGCAGTAAAATTTTGCCTTTTTCCAAACAGTATTGATCAATTTTCGACACAGTTTCTGCTGGTTGGGGCCCAAGAACCTGAGATTTCGCTGATGGGCAACGAGATGGACAAAAACCGCGAATACCAATGCGTGGCCAGTTGCTTCAAACTGAACGACCAGGGCAACAAAAACACTGGCAAGTCCATGGTGCCCGAATGCGTTGTCGACGTGCGATTTTTAACTTACATTAAAAGGAAGATTTTATCATAAATCATGTTTAGTATCGGTCCATTTCTTTGGATTGTCACGAGCCGAGTATTTTTTCTTGGAAATTTTAATTTAATATTATAAAATAATATCTAAAAAAAAGCGAAAAATTTGGGACTTATTGTAATGGATTTCGGCCGATACTGGATCAGCAGTGACAAAAAGAACTGGCACGAGGCGTCAAGAATTTGCAGAACCTATTCGATGCAGTTGGCAGGCCTAGAAACCAAAGACGAAATCCAATCAGTTGCTGAAAAGGCTTACGTTAACGGTAATTAAAAATTTGAATGGGCCAAATTAAACCATAATTTGAGACTAGTAAAAAATTTACCAAGAAATATTTTCCAGTTTCTAGAAATTTAATTTTGTGCAAGAAATTTTTTACAGCAAGATTTTATAGGCTTTTGTAGCAAAATAATTTTTATGAAAAAATGAAAAAAAGTTACAAAGTCTCCTGTTAAAAAATTGGCCTAAACCATTTTTTTTTTAAATTTAATTCTTTCTAAGTCGTGGCAAGACTAAGTAAGCTCAAAATTTATCTTTAGAACTGAATTTTTAAATCAAGACTACATACTTTTTCTTCTTAAATAATCATTAAATGGCCATATACAAATTTTGTAATTTAATTTTTCTGTATTAATATTTCTTATTTATATTAAATTATAAGTTAAATTATAAGTTAAATTATTTATAAACATACAATATTATTATAAAATTTTATTTTTTTTTAAATTTCTATCTCACAAATGCCTAATGTGAAATTTAACAAGTTACACAAATAAAAAAAATTTGGTACTAGAAAATTCATTTGAATAGGAACGTTTTGGTAAAATAATTTCTAATTGAAAAGTGCTTGATGTGCCTTTTTATAGAAATAACTAACTAATCCGAAATTTTTTACTTTTATCTCTGAGTTCCCCATTTTCATTTCATCTTGCATATCCTTTCCCTTTGAAAATCCCACCGCTCACGTTTACTTTTCCATTTTCGTTTTATCCTCAATTTGAAAGAAAATGTTTTACAAATTTGAGTGAATAAAAAAAATAAAATCAGACACAAGTCCTCCGGCCGAGGGTTACTGGATGTCTCTATGCGATCTTGTTGAGGACGGCAAGTGGTACTGGGCGCACTCGGGCGAAGACTTGACCTACTCGCAGTGGGACGCCGGTGAACCTAATGACGTCGGCAAAGTGCCGCAGCGTTGCGTTGAGCTCAAGTATCTCCTTTTAAATGTATATAAATGTTTTATCCATTGCAAAATGTATTGCAGAATGGCCTCGGATAAGTCTTTCAAGTGGGCCGACCGCGACTGCATGGACGAGCGCAAGTTCATATGCGAAATGCCTGAAATTTGCTTCCGGCAGTATTGCAATGCCAGTTGATTCCGCTGTTAAATTTTACCATTTTATACTTCGTTTGGAAAATGACAAATAATTTATTGCAAAAATTAAAAATGTTCATCTCTGCAAAAATATAAATTATATTAAATGATTAACTTAAATCAAAGATTTTATCTTCGTTGGAGGAATCAAAACGTTAAATTTAAAATAATTTACAATTCTTACAGAGTAAATTTAATACTCAAGAGAGGGGTTTATGAAATATTCAAATTTTGATAAAAAGGAAAAAAATAAATAAATAAAGGATAAATAAATAACACATTATATATTTTTACAAAAAATCTGATTAACTAAAAGTAATAAAAATTTCAAATTTTTTCTTTGATTCCAATAAAACTAAGTAATTTTTATTTAAAAATAATTAATCTAATTTTTCTAATCAAAGGATCTTAAGAGTTTCAAGTTTCATAGGGCAAACGAAAATATTGAAGATGAAATCTTTTGTATTACAACAATTTATTGGGAATTTCTGTCTGATTGAAATATTGATTTTCAAACTCTGCGTGTCTTAAAAAGTGGAGCGCGAGCATTTTGCAATTTTTGAAGAAGGTCTCTTTGTGTTTCGCTGATTAAAAGCGGGCGAGATGGATTTGTGTGGCGTTTGCGCACAGCCCGAGCGAAAAGGCGCCTCGCGATCTTGGTCGGTCGGGGCAACGCGTGCACTGTTTTCATCCCTGGTCATTCACTTCCCTCGCATAGGCACCGACGGCATGGACGCACCGGCCGACGGCGCCCCTCACGACTGCCTCGACGCCCTGCAGTCCTTCGTCAGGGTGCAGCAGCGCCAGATCGACTGGCTTGAGGAAAACCTCCTGCAGCTGCTCGCCCAGGACAAACCGCTAAAGGTTAGTTTTTTGTGCAAAATTTTAATTGTTTTCAAAAAGGATTCCGAATAAAAAAGAAGAAAATTTTTCAAATTAAAGTCATAAATATGAAAATTGTACTAAAGAGATGAAGAATTTAATTTAATTAATTATTAAATATTGTCAGGGTAAACCTGACCTGGGTCATTTGCCGACAATATTTAAACTGCAGCAGGCTAAGTTTTGCTAAATTAAATTTTCAGCATTTTAAAAAACTTTTCACAATAAATAATTACTATAAATATCAATAAACAAAAATTTAAAATTCATAAGAAAAACTGATAGCTACTTTTTTGTGCAATTTATATTTTCCATACCATTTTTCAAACTATTTTTGTAAACAAAATTATTGAAATTAAACCTGCTGGAACGTTATTTACTTTCCAGACTTATTTAAAGAGGGACGCTGGTTATTATTATTATTTTTTTTACTATTCCTGAATTTGGAATCTGGCTAAATTTCAAGACCAACCTTGAAATCGTGATTAAAAAATTATAAACCTTCAGCGTTTTAACCGATTATCGCATTTTCGTGCCAAAATCATTTAAACCTCTGTCTGCGTTACTGTTTATAGGAAGAGTATTGGCTGCTTGGCTTTTTCAACTTTGTTCGGCAATTTGTCAATCAGGACTAATTTTTGTAATTTTTCTTTTCGAGGGAAAATGTGAACCCTCGATAAATGCGAATTTTTTCATCTCGATTTTGGTCATCATGAAATTTTGGCCTTTTTAAACAGTCAGGAATAAAAATTTATCGGAGCCACTCTTGAACAATAAATTTTTTTCTATTATTAAAAATTTAAATGCAAATGCTATGCTAAAACAATGACGGAAGTCTTGAAAGGGCGTTGATATTTTTATTAATCAAATGTGACGGGAAGCGACAGCGATTAATGAAACGGACAAGTGCTGAATTTAAAATAAAAAACTGCTTAGAACAGCAGTATGTGATGTCACGCGCCGAAGCCATAAAACGATCATGTCACTCTATACACGCAGTGCAATTTGAAAGAGCTAGGGGTGCAAAGTGTAATTAAACGGCGGCTCCTTCTCGGAAGCCTCACGCTGAAGCGAGCGCGATCAAATTTTGCCGTCTCAGTCTCTCTCTCAGAAATTAAGATGCTGCACTTCGCGAGTTCGTCGCTTCAAAGGCGACACAATTTGCTCTACCTTGTTAACGTTAATTATTTTGTTCTTCATCAACATGAAGAAGCCCTGCATGCTTAAAATTTATACAATGTTTATTCCTGTTTATACTTGAATCTTGATTTAAATTTTAAATGTGGAAATATATTGATTTAATCTTGAGGTATTTTGAAAAATATTGATTGATCTATTAGAGTTAAATGCAGTTTTTGCGCACAAAATATATATATTCAAATATTTTTTAACAAGAAAATGGGTGAGGGATTTGTTCTGTCAATCTTTTTGCTTAATTTTTTACTTTTTAATTTCTTCTCTTATTAGAGTTATTCAAAATTTTCGGTGGTGGAGTCAATTTATTGGTGAATAAAGTTATTGAATAAAAACAAAATCCTTTATCAAAATTATAGTCTCTTTTTTTAACTTTATCAAAATTGGAATCAGATTCTTTAACTTATTTTGCTTCTATAATTAATCAAAAATATTATTAATTTCATTTCAACAATTCGTTGCTTTGAGAGATAATCAGTTTACCTTGCGCTCTATTTTCACATCGAATGGCGGTGAAAAAAATTCAACAAAACAGAGAGTGAGGCGAGATGTGTTTGGATATGGGTGGCGAGCGGCCAGGAATAGAAGTAAAACACACGCCGTTCCTGTCGCCTCACAGTTTACTTTAGCCGACCGATGAGTTTATTCGCCCTGATTGGGCAATTCCGAGAGCGAAAATCCACAAGAGCGAGAAAAAAAGGTGGATTTTGCGGATTTTTGACGTCGCCGGCCCGACTGCAGACGTTTCGCTCGTCTGGCTGGAAAATTGCCAGATTACGTTGGAAAAATTCAATAAGCGGCGGCAGACAGCCGCGAGCTGCAGTGAGTTTGTCTGCGCTCGCGAATATCAAATATGGGGGAGCAAATGGCGCGAATTAAAAATCTGCGACACAATAAAAGAGAGAAAGAGCAGGTTTTGATTTGGAGAGGGTTAAGTCGAGCGTGCAGCGCGTGTCACACGCTGGTGCGCGTTCCAAATGCAGATCAGCGCCGGAAAACCAGTGCGGTGTGCCTTTTTAATTAATACTTAAATAATTTGGCGCGTGCGAACTCAAGATTTCCGATTCATAAATTAATATTTGCCCTCGACGCGCTTCTCTCGGATGGATTGTTTCTCGAACACGTCGATTAATTCGCGCCGCGTGTTGTAATTTCCATGACAACCGCATTGCAAATTGGCCTCGTTTGCGGTAATTGAGGAAAGTAGGAAAATTTGTTGTACTTGCGTCCTTATTAAATCATGCCGAGTGTTTCCGCAAGTCTCAATGAGATTTACATTTATTCACATTTTTGCATGTAAACTTTTTTGTCATTTCCCTAAATAACCTGGTAAAAAAAACGAAATGAGATTAGGCTGAATTGCTAAAATATTCACTGTCCAAGGTCCAAGTCCATACTTCGCAATCTAAATAAGGAAGGAACAAGAAAGGAACACACATCATATAATACTTTTTTTTAGAATTAAAAGTTAGCACTGAGCAATCGCAAATTTGATCAATTTAAAAGAAGTTCCTCTGCTTCTGACATTTTGCGCCAAAAACATTTAAGAGTCAAAGTACAATGGATATTTTATATTTCTTTCTAAACAATAAGAAATGATAATTGTAAAAATTGCTATAAAAATTCATTCCGACAGATAATATTCAAAGTTCCATGAAAATCAATAGATTTTGAAAAAAAAAAGTAAAATTTAATAATAAATCGTGCTTTTTCCCTCGTTGCAGATTTTTTTTATTAAAAAAAAAAATTGGCTCTACCAGTTTCGGTCACGGTCTGCGACCCTATTTCATACAAGAGCCGTTATTGTTATTGAATAAAAAAATAAAAAAATTCTGCGAGGAGGAAAAAGCCCGATCTTTTCATTTCCATGATCATCTCCCCGAGTGTCAACTTCTTCAAAATAATAACAAAAAAACCTTTAAAAAATACTTCTGATAACATATGATTTTCAACATTTTTAACCAAAACACAGCAGTCAAGGCCATACGTATGATTTAAAATATTCAATCCGTCTGTTAGTTTTTTCTTTTTCAAAACATATTCTATTCCTACATAAAAATTCTACATTTTTCGCAAGTGCGTTTGCAAATAATCGCAATCTACGTATAGTTTGCACGAATTGGAAATTATGGCTGCGGTGAAGTGTCGCGTTTATATTTGAGATGGAGAACCGCAAACTCTCCGGCGGAGGAGAAACTATGGTCCAGCAAATATTAGCGGGCTGCAAACAAATGTGCGCGCCACAGCCCGGCAAACAGCAAATTGGAAACGCGCCGAAACTTAATCCCGGCGTATACACAAATGAGCATATGAAGAGTGTCTCGTTCCACACACAAAGGGTCCATTTACGTATCGCCAGATGCTGCGGCGCTGCACTTGTTTGCTCTCAACTCTCGGAAAGCTTCGACGCAGGTGATCGAACCCGGCGAGAGATAATTGTATTTCGAAACGGAGGGTGGTTTTCGCATATCGATCTCGAGGGTGGGTGGCGCTTTTTCATCACCGCCGAGGGATGCCAAATGATGCTGCCGCATTAAAGCTCAAAAACAGCAGTTGTGCGTCGCTCTCATGACGAATAGAAATGCAGCACGCCAAGGGGAGATGCAAAATATATATAGCAGACTACGATGATGAGAGACAAACATGCCTAGATTGCACGCAAATGGAAAATGCGAAGCTTCCGGTTTAATCAGTTAAAACTTCTCGTCCGAATCCAATCTGTTGATTGAGAAGCAGCCCTCAATTCTTTTCCTGATCCAAAGTTGTTGATTTGGAATCGTTCATTGTTCAATTTCGTTTTAATCCATCCTTGGATTTTAAAATAATTCAAAACTAAAAAACAAAGCATTTTTCAATGTGAAAGGATGAAAAAAAAATATTGAATTTAATTATAAATTTCTCATTGACTGATTTTTTTACATATATTTTTAGAATGCAAAGTTTTTAATTGGAAAAACTTTTGGAGTTGAACATCGCATTTGTATCAAATGAAATTGCAGAAAAAAGTTATTTTAGGCCTGCCAAAGAACAGTACACTATGCAAAAATAAGAAAAGCTTCTTCTTATGCTTATGTTTTATGTACCTATTTGTGATTTGTTTACCTTCCTTGGTTAAATATTATTTTTATATAATATTATTAAATTTATTTTATAAATTACTGGGTTTTTTCTGCCCGCAGTTTTCTTAGAATCGCCAAATTCCGTCTCACCTGTTTTTCAAATTTTAAATTTAAACCTCTTCCCACAGAATCATTAAATTGTACGTACTTTCTTATTTTAAAAAATCAACTGCTATAGATTCTCCCCTAAATGCATAATGTTTTAACTCATTTTGTTAGAAGAAGTTGGCACTCGAGGAGATGATCATGTAAATGAAGATATCGGGCTTTTCCTCGTTGCAAACTCATCATTTTAATTTTAACTTTGAAACCAATTAACAAAATCACCTATATTTCAAGAAAAAGTCACCTATATTTTCCAGAAATGTAAATAACAATAATAAATAATACTAATTTATTAATTTGTGTTCTCTAAAGAACACACAATGTTTACAATAACCTATAAATTCCCATTTAATTTCTTTTTCACACAAAAATATGGCGAGAGTGTTGTTTTTTTTCCATTTGAATGAAATCACTTCTTGCACTTCTGATATGACTTCGAACATTATATATTTACACGTGGAAGGGTTGAAGAGTGTCACACAATCAGTCAAGTGAGCGCCGTGCATTGTGTCACGAGTGAGTGCGCAACGCTCGCGCAAAGTGCTGCGGCGTCGATATTAATTT